CAACTAAAATCACGAAAACCTTGAAGAAATGGCCGAAAACATCGAAAAAAAAGTTAAAAGTAAAATGCTTGTAAAATCTTGAAAACCCCAAATCCCAGTTATTTTATTGCAGATTATGAAAGCTCTAATGCTCCTCTTTCCAACAGTAATACCCACTCTACATGGGACATCTGGCTTATTAAACAAACTGGGTCCAAAGATGGCTGCCATTTCGTCTCTTAATTGACCCATGTTCCAGAAAAGGCTCCGTAACCATGGCAACCAATGTGACGTCATAATAAACAATACATATGAACTCTTCAACATGTCCCATATACAAATCAAATGGTTATTAACTGGTTTTGGATTATCTTCTTGGCATATCATAAGCTGGAAATATATCTTTTTTCACTGATTTTGGTGCATTTTCTAGGTTGTAAAAAGACAACAAACATGGGTTGCTTAGCAACGGTGTCACACACTAACCAATCATCTGTGAGAAAAATGAATAACATATTTTGGCTTCCCAATGGTCATACTTTCATATAAGAATAAAATTTTTGAAATATAAAATTTGACATGTGCCACCCTCCAATGGTGTCCTGCCCCCTTTTTACAAATAGTGCCTCTTAATCACTTACCGCTATTAATATAGCCGTTTGTGAGTATAATGCTGTTACAGACGTGTCTAAGGAACCTTATGAGCTATAACTACGTTCATGATAACCTGATGAGTTAAAAGCTACAATGAACGTTAATTCGGGCCCGTCGCCATTACTCAAACTCCCAGTGCATCATGGGAGTTCCGATTTATAAATATTCTTCTGCCCTTTCCCACAAACAAATATTCAATCCTTTATAAATCTTAAGTAGCATTATATGGATATAAAACATATTTTCACCAACTATGAGGACCATTCAGATACAAGAAGCCTTTAGATTTTGACTCAGGTATCGGTGTCAATTTCCAAAATGGCGCTTGTCGGAGCAATTGGAGTGGATGTTTATCATCAATATTGATGCGTATTCAGGTATTATAATGCCAATTAACCCACGGAAACACATTCAGCAGATTGATAAATGCATGAGGAAAACATTGAGGTATGATAATATGTTATCTAGTTGGAGTGAGTCTAGTTTTAAAGAGGAAAATCATGAAACACCCTATTATCGCCCAATTTTTTTTTCACAAATCCCCGGGGATTTTGTCATTTGAGACATCTCCTCCAGGAAAATTTGGTAGACACACTGTGCGTTTATTGGAGAGAATATGGTACATATATTTAAATTGTGATGAAACAGTATCAATTTCCCGATTGAACTCTTACTTTATACCTCATGTAACAAAATATTGAATACTAGTTACAACCATGTGAAAGAATGTCCATTGATTAGTTGATGCTTTGAACAATACAACTACCCCAACAATAGAATGTCTATTCGGTCATTCATATTCTTCATTATTTCTCTGGAAAATCAAATGAAATGTCTGATTTCAGATAGGCCTATTTTGTAAAGTGTCCATGGGATGCTTGTATATTTTATTCACCATAGATTTTACTTTTTTCTGCTCAAGTTATGCAATTTAGAATGTGAAACCTGTGTTATTTTATTTAGGGGTTCTATTCACATATCAATAAACAGTAATATTAAAAATGAACTTTGTGTTGTTATTGCATCAATATATATGGTTGCACCGTGAGTATGTTGATAGCTGGATGTTGCACAGGAGGCTCTAGAATCCCATCATTAATCAAAGCAAATGATTGATTTTCTTCGTCTGATTGGTTCTAATGCAATATTTGGCCCATTGGAACCAGACTTCAATCTTACTTGTGTATGAAATTTCCTGGCTTCATCTTAAGTCTTGGAATGCTGTAATGAATAAGAGTGTAATAAAATGAAAAATCAATGAAAATGTATGTTAAGTTACATGGGATTTTTGGTTCAGAGAGAAAAACTCAGATTTCACATAGAAATCTGCTAAATGTAACAATTATCAGTGTAAGCTATACAAAATCTTGACTCGCTTTATTATACGCTAGAGTGGTTTAGACATTTTGGAGTAATTGCGAGACACAAAGAGGGTTTCTAACCCCGATTTAAATCATTTCCTGTATTAGCTATATTACGTAAAGCAGAGTTTATCTTCTATGTTCCCATATATATCAGGCTGAACCAATCAGAAGCATTGGATCAACAGTTAATTGAACTAAGAATCATGGGATTCTCTGACCTCCTTTGTTAATTTCTAGACAGAAATCAATGAACATGGAATGTGCTGAATTCATAGGCAATGTTAGATACAATCTGGATCTGATCCCATAGAAGATCCAAATATTGATAGGCCCTTTTAACAAGCATTGTATTGGAGTACATATTTCCTCATTTTACACTCGACTTGACTGGTGGATATGAGGCACAATATGAATATGGAAGAAGACCCTTGCAGCCCTGTCCCACCCCTTATATTAGAGCCTCAAAAACAAATTGAATATTGATTTACCAATTTTTATTCGGAAAATCACTTTTGGCCTCAATTCTCAAAAATTCACTTATGATAAGTATATTCGATGGTTTGAAAGGTTAATAAGCGATTTGTTTTGAAAATACACCTAAATTTTTAAAACAAGCCTTGATTTCAAAAGTGGGTCTTCTAGGTGCAAAAAATCTTGTTCTTCGAGATGGTTTTCATTTTAAACTTTTTATAGTATAACTCAAGTCAAACTCACCGAAAATAGGTAATTTTTCATTAATTGTGAAATTAGTAATGTCTAAGGATTGTTCAGTCCATTGTTAGAGCATCCTTCTTCAAAGGACTTCATTTAAACTTAGATTCAGAAAAGGAGGAGGGAAGTTAGTGCAACAGATTTTGGACAGTCACATGTTTGATTTTGCCCATTTCCTGGGGATTTAAACAGGTGCATATGTTAGGCGAATGCATTACCTCCAGGAAAATCACTTCTAGAGGTGATAAAATAATTTAGACTTTGAGACAGGGTAGATGCAAACAACCAACCCACAAGTTTTTTCTGAAACGTTTTCCTGATTTTCAACCCCTTCCATCCCTGCTTTTTTAATTTTTCTTGCATCAATATGTTGCGTTTTGACACACAGTTAATCCCTTAAAAGGAATAAATGATTCCTTTTAGATAAAGTGGAAAACAATATTTCCCATGTTATTTTCCCATAGGAAAAATCATTGCTTTCAGCTAAGTTTGGTCACCCATAATGGGTATCTTTAAAACCCCTGAAGGAATCACTTATTCCTTTAACCTTCTGCACTCCGACTTATTTCAGCAAATATATCCCACGCATCTGACTTATTTTTCAAAAATGATATGCCTGGACTAAATAATTAATATCTCAATAACTACTGAATGAATCTGGATAAAATTTTCACAAAGGGAAGATACACTAGCGTGGCTCATGAGAAAAATGTTGTCATGAATTTTTTTCGTACATAAATACGACTGGGCTTGAATATACCATGAATACTCCTCCAGAATCCGCCGTTTCGCCCCTCGGGAGATTCAACGTCTGGTCAGAATCCAAAACTGAATTTGCAGAGATCGAATGTTCTTCTTTTCAGTTCAGAAAATATTCTAGTTTCTATTTTCGATGACCATTATCGGCTTCCAAGAGCCTAAAGAGCTCGAAATCGCAATCCATTTCCTCCACATTTTCGTTGTGATCGTATTTGGCCGTCATTTTATACGATTTGTTCACTAAAAACGACCTAAACACTGTTTAAATTGTTGAATTGAGAAATATTTTTCGAAACATCGCCATTTCTAGGTCAACAGGAAGTCACCTACTAAGGACTGAATAAATCGGGCAATCTAATTGGATCATAAGAACGGCGGGAAAAAGTAAAGTTTTCAAAAGTTAGATTTGTGTCGTCCGGATCCGCCGGTGGATTCTGGGGGTAGTTTTGAATGGGCGGACGCGGTCGCCGGTGGTCTGCTAAAGGTTAAAGTGGTTAACTATGTGTCAAAATGCAACATATTGATGCAAGAAAAATTAAAAAAGCAGGGATGGAAGGGGTCGAAAATTAGGAAAACATTTCAGAAAAAACATGTGGGTGGGTTGTTTGCATCTACCCTGTCTCAAAGTCGAAATTATTTTATCATCTCTGGAAGTGATTTTCCTGGAGGTAATGCATTGGCCTAACATATGCAATTGTTTAAATCCTCAGAAAATGGCCAAAATCCAAAATATGACTGTCCGAAATCTGTTGCGCTAATTTCCCTCCTCCTTTATGGAAAGAAGTGATACCCCGGACCAAGGATGTTGTTAGAGTAAACTAGTGCTACTGAATCACTGCCAAGGGCTGGTCTGATATGTTGAATAAATGATCCACTTATTCCAATTTTATGCCTCATTTCATTCAATCATCCTTAATGGTTCATCTACTTTAGGATCCTATACAGCCATAAATATTAGATACTATCTCTAAATCTGACGTTTTAGCTCAGTATAGGCTCTAGCTTAGTAAGATATAAGGGTAATGAAGAAAATGAACTCTTTGAAAATAGACACAAGATGAAAAAACAATTCTTTAAAGAGACGCGTTTGAGCATTTTTAAGAAAAATGTTCATATTGAAAAAACCCAGTTTACATCAATGAATAGATATCATAAAGGTTCCTTGAATGATGTCCCATGAAATTGACTAGCTTAAATTCATTTCAAAAACAACATGCTAGATTATCTCTAACAACACGCTAGAGTGAGTATATTTGTTTCTTGGAGCCTGTTCTGCTTCAGGCCTATAGTCAGTTTTTGCCAAGGGTTGTTCACTTTTCAGAAAAAAATTCAAGGGAGGGGTTCACATTGACAAGTTTAGAATCATGAAAAACTGCATGATTTTGAAAGAATTTTTGGTCAGGGAGTGTCCGCTTCAATGTTCTAAATGTTCACTTCAAGGTTCTAAAACGAACCCCTGAGGTATACTTTTGTATGTTATGATAAAATAAGTTGTATATTGCATAAAAAGTATTATTTATTTCTTCATTTCAGGCTCTGGTACTATGCAGATTCGCCCCATAGCAGAACGCCATCTATTTGCATTGGCTACAGAAATTTCTTGCCCGAGCCAGATGAAAAACTAAGTCATCTCGTAGGTAGAGTTAACCGAGGACTGAATGCATTCCCTTTAGAAGGTAGGTCACTTGAGTTCATTTTTTTAGTAATATTGGATAACAAAAAATAAATTATGAACTTCCTTTTTTCATGCATATTTAATCATATCACTGCATGAACACTAAGTCACTTTATATTCTGGTAATTTAAAACAGTAAAACCTGGGACTGGCGCAAAGTGTTTAGATTAACAAGTGTTCACATTTTAAGGTTTTTAAACATGTGAGTCAAAAGGAAACAATAAACTTGGGACTGAGAAAAGTGTTCATATTAAGAGGGGTTTGGATTAGAGAGGTGTTCATGTTTGGATGTTTCACTGTCTTTTAAAACGTTATATTTCCAGGCAATATATTGAATGTTGAGACTGTTCCCTTAAAAACCTCATCAGCTTACAAACACGATCCAGCCTTGGCAGAGAGAAGCGTTTGGCTAGAACAACCAGAAGACGGAAAAAGATATGCACTGTTTCTAAGGATATTTTTCATCCATAGCAACCACTATGATCGTGATGCAGAGATAGGTTTGTAAATCTGTTTCAGTCCTTCAATTGAATACTCTAATCTATTTTGATTGGTCAATCAAAGGTGTATAATACAGAATATCATTTTAAGAGTCATCAATACATTTCTTTAGACTTAATGTTACAACATTCTGTATCAACTCTCAATATCACAAAAATTAGGAGTAAAATATTTTTTACAAACTTAAAGTTGTTAGTGAAATTTACCTGTTCACTTCTGTGTCTTCGAGATATTAACAAAATGTTTTTGTTTTTTTCTTTTTGCAGTAATGAAAGATTTCATTCCTGTTTATAACCAAAAATCCAAACAAAATGCAGGCTATGAACTATTCAATGAGGTCCTAGAAAGGGCTAGTAGATGGATTAGTCACCATGATGGGTACAAGTTCATCAACCTCCAGTCAATACCTATGAAAGATAAAAATAGTAAGTCATTTTAAAACCTCTAGTCAATACCTGTGAAAGATAAAAATAGTAAGTCATTTTAAAACCTCTAGTCAATACCTGTGAAAGATAAAAATAGTAAGTCATTTGAAAACCTCTAGTCAATACCTGTGAAAGATAAAAATAGTAAGTCATTTGAAAACCTCTAGTCAATACCTGTGAAAGATAAAAATAGTAAGTCATTTGAAAACCTCCAGTCAATACCTATGAAAGATAAAAATAGTAAGTCATTTGAAAACCTCCAGTCAGTACCTATGAAAGATAAAAATAGTAAGTCATTTGAAAACCTCCAGTCAATACCTATGAAAGATAAAAATAGTAAGTCATTTGAAAACCTCCAATTAATACCTATGAAAGATAAAAATAGTAAGTCATTTGAAAACCTCAAGTCAATACCTATGAAAGATAAAAATAGTAAGTCATTTTAAAACCTCCAGTCAATACCTATGAAAGATAAAAATTGTAAGTCATTTGAAAACCTCTAGTCAATACCTGTGAAAGATAAAAATAGTAAGTCATTTGAAAACCTCTAGTCAATACCTGTGAAAGATAAAAATAGTAAGTCATTTGAAAACCTCTAGTCAATACCTGTGAAAGATAAAAATAGTAAGTCATTTTAAAACCTCTAGTCAATACCTGTGAAAGATAAAAATAGTAAGTCATTTGAAAACCTCTAGTCAATACCTGTGAAAGATAAAAATAGTAAGTCATTTGAAAACCTCTAGTCAATACCTGTGAAAGATAAAAATAGTAAGTCATTTGAAAACCTCTAGTCAATACCTGGGCTTGAGCAAGCTATTGGTAGCACTTTTAGTCCCAAAGAGGTGGATTTTCAAACTTGCTAGAAGAAAATATTTTTCTGAATCATAATTTTACTTAATGTCTTACCTTTTATTTTTTATTGACCCAGAGATAACTTTTTGCATCGATATCAGAAAAATCATGATGATATTATAAGCCCCAACTTTGGCTCTTCGGAAAGGACACACACATAATTGCAATTATTAAAGGGTATATATAAGTTTCATTATATGTTCCGCATATTTTGTTTTAAAGCATGCACATATATGGTTCTAAATAACTAATAGTTTTTATCTGAATCATTATCATAGAAATGAAATAGGAAGACCAGTCTCGTCACTTGGCCTGTGATTTTGGCAAAAAAGTTCAATCATTTTTCCAATTACGATAATACTTAATAACGTTGAATATCCTGTTGATTTTTCCTTCTGTCTGAATCATTACAAAGTCCTTAATAATGTTTGTTTATATATGAGACAATCATGATAGTATATATGTGTACCATATGACTAAACTACACTTGTCCAAAGCTCTTCGGAAAGGACATTTTTTAGTGTATTGCTAAATGCTGTTAAATAGATTGAATTTGTGGGAGCAATTTTCGGTGATTGTACATTTGTTTCTATTCGTGTATTCATGTTTTCGAGATTTACCACAGATTACAACATTATCTGCAATTTTTCATAGGTAGATATATGGGTGATAATAGGGCAGAACATCATTAAAGTCATCACTTTAAGGCTATCATGAATGTACTTATAGTTTTTGTAGCTGCTGGGCCAGTGACATGTGGGCCTATGTAACAGCATTATGCACAGAAACGACTCAATTGTTGGTGGTAATTGTCAGTGGATTAAACCTATTATCACAGGAAAAATAGTGATGAAGATACAATTTTATATTTGCGGCATTCTTCATTTGCAATTTTACACTTCAGTGTTTTAAAGGGTTTTACAGTACTGTCCAAATCAAGATTCAATGTAATATTTGTAAACATTGTGCTAGTGCCTTTATACATCAGTAGAAAATTTAGTTATTGACATCCAATATAGCATTCCTAATCAGAGATTGGATTGCTCTTCGGAAAGGACACATTTACTTTTGTAGTTCCTGTTTTAGTTAGTTACTTCAGTAAAGATATTTTATGTATAAAAGTTCATCAGAAAATATATTCCAGTGTGTTTCTCTTTAATATTGTTGGTAAATGCACTGTTTTGACAGAGTTTGTCTTTTCCGAAGAGCTCTTCGGAAAGGACTTTTTTCTTGTGTCGGAATTTTAAAATTGAATTTACAGGTATATATGACAGTTCAAAGCTACTAATTTGTTTTGAATATTCAAGAAACTAAATGCATTTTGTTTTAAAATAGTTTTTAGTGTATGATATTACTTCAGTCTTGAAATACACATGCTCTTCGGAAAAGACATTTGCGTGTCGGAAAATCAGTTACTTATTTTGAGAGCCAATATCTCAGGAACCACTACAGCCTTTTCTATAATTTTTTTATTGACAGAATTCTAACATTCAGTACTTTTGATATCATCATAAAAAAACAGTAAGCAAACATTGGAAAATATGTTGAAAAATTCTGTCTTTTTTAACATAAAATTTACAATGAAATGTTACACCAACGGTTGTGTGCTACAAGCGGTTATCAAAACTCTATTCACTATTATGGACACACTTGTTGCATATCATTTTAAAGCAAATTCCTTAATCTTTCCAATGCAGCCAAATTACTTTAACTTACTCTCTTCAAGTACATGCTTGAAGCATATTTGTAAATGTGGATTTTTTCTTGGGAATTTGTTACATAGAGAATAAGACATATTTTGATACATGAAAATTTATAAAAAAATTATCATTCATCTTTCAAGAAAATGATATCTTCCTCAGACATATAGTGGATGTACCTAATAAATAAGACTGATTTCCCATCTGTATCTTAAGCCTTGCATTTTTTCTGGGTGCCAATATGAAAGTGCTACCAATAGCTTGCTCAAGCCCACCTGTGAAAGATAAAAATAGTAAGTCATTTGAAAACCTCCAGTCAATACCTATGAAAGATAAAAATAGTAAGTCATTTGAAAACCTCCAGTCAGTACCTATGAAAGATAAAAATAGTAAGTCATTTGAAAACCTCCAGTCAATACCTATGAAAGATAAAAATAGTAAGTCATTTGAAAACCTCCAATTAATACCTATGAAAGATAAAAATAGTAAGTCATTTGAAAACCTCAAGTCAATACCTATGAAAGATAAAAATAGTAAGTCATTTTAAAACCTCCAGTCAATACCTATGAAAGATAAAAATTGTAAGTTATTTTAAAACCTCCAGTCAATACCTATGAAAGATAAAAATAGTAAGTCATTTTAAAACCTCCAGTCAATACCTATGAAAGATAAAAAATAGTAAGTCATTTTAAAACCTCAAGTCAATAGTAATGAAAGATAAAAATAGTAAGTCATTTTAAAACTTCCAGTCAATAGCAATGAAAGATAAAAATAGTAAGTCATTTTAAAACCTCAAGTCAATAGTAATGAAAGATAAAAATAGTAAGTCATTTTAAAACTTCCAGTCAATAGCAATGAAAGATAAAAATAGTAAGTCATTTTAAAACCTCAAGTCAATAGTAATGAAAGATAAAAATAGTAAGTCATTTTAAAACTTCCAGTCAATAGCAATGAAAGATAAAAATAGTAAGTCATTTTAAAACTTCCAGTCAATAGCAATGAAAGATAAAAATAGTAAGTCATTTTAAAACCTCAAGTCAATAGTAATGAAAGATAAAAATAGTAAGTCATTTGAAAATAGATAGAAAACCCAGAGTGCACAGACAGTAAAGAAGGGAAAAATGATTTGTTAGGACATTGAGCAGAATTCAGATCCTGGGGGATTTCAAGAAAATATTGATTGAAATTATGAAAGATTAAGCTACATGGAGTACTTTAGTAACTTCAGATCAAAATAAGAGACAAAATTGTACAATCAAAGTGTAATATCTTCATGAAGTGATGAAGTAACAAACACGATTTCTGAAATTCTGTTTGTGATTTTATTAATATTAACAAGGTATCCTCATAGCCTTTTTTCCAATCCATTAACTCCATCTTTATTTGTAAATCGTTACTTCCAGTTATGGAGATGCGAGGGGCTCCCGTAGTCGAAAAATGCTTCTTCACAGAACACGGTTGCTCAGTAGCTGGGGCCACAAATGGTGAAGCAACAATGTACTTCCAGATCTTGCGTGTTATATTTGTAAAACCCATGCAAGGAGTCACAAATCCCACACATTTGTCAGTTAGGACGTTTGTCCCGATGAGTTTGCCGGAAGTACCAGATACTTATGAGGAGCTCACACAGACAGTGGATAGAGTCAACTCATGGATTTCAAGTGCGGGTAAGTGTTTTTTTCAATCGGAGCAAATGTGACCTGGCAATACTGGGAGATATAGACTAAAAGCTAGAAATATGAGATAAAGTCATAGATTATTTGAACCAGAGTTCAACAAATTACTTCAATCAGCCCTTTTACTGTATTGAGCAAATGAGGTGAAAAGAGCTTTATTGCGGGCTGAAAACATTTACATTTTGTAATTAACCGAAAACAAATATAAAATGCATTCATTTGTGACAACACAGTGGGCAGATTTAAATGAATGTACTGCCAATGTATAAATATAATCTAAAAAATATTTTCAGGTGCGACAGTGTTTGGTATGGAGACTGTACCTATAAGACTGTCCCCTACCCTACCCATGAGTGCAGCTATATCTCTGGGTTCTGATCTCACATACACTATGGTCAAGGCAGAGGAAGCTTGCAAAGGGGTGGAAAAATGGGCATTTATAGTCAGGTAAGACTTAAGTGAGATATTTCTTGATTGTTTTCATTTATGTCATATTAAAACTTTTATTTTATTGTTTTTAATATGGAGTGTAATATTGGGGTTCATTAACATAGAAATAGAAGAAAATCTGAACTTCTCAAGAAATTATGAGGAAAATTGGGAGTTTTAAAAAATGAAATAAAGATCTCAACAATCTAGGAAAATCAGGTTCTATAAAAAATCTGGATAAAAAGAATTTGGGCATTTATTTAAAACTCTTTTGATCTAAAAATTGGTAGACAGAAGGTGTTTTTATATGTGATTTCAGACTTTATCTTTTTGGCGACTATGCACTAAATTGAAAGTGTCTTTATATATGATTTCAGACTTTATCTTTCTGGCGACTATGCACTAAATTGAAAGTGTCTTTATATATGATTTCAGACTTTATCTTTCTGGGGACTATGCAGTAAATTGAAAGTGTCTTTATATATGATTTCAGACTTTATCTTTCTTGCGACTATGCACTAAATTGAAAGTGTCTTTATATGTGATTTCAGACTTTATCTTTCTGGGGACTATGGAGTAAATTGAAAGTATCTTAATGTGTGATTTCAGACTTTATCTTTCTGGGGACTATGCAGTAAATTGAAAGTGTCTTCATGTGTGATTTCAGACTTTATCTTTCTGGGGACTATGCAGTAAATTGAAAGTGCCTTCATGTGTGCTTTCAGACTTTATCTTTCTGGAGACTATGCAGTAAATTGAAAGTGTCTTCATGTGTGATTTCAGACTTTATCTTTCTGGGGACTATGCAGTAAATTGAAAGTGTCTTCATGTGTGATTTCAGACTTTATCTTTCTGGGGACTATGCAGTAAATTGAAAGTGTCTTCATGTGTGATTTCAGACTTTATCTCTCTGGGGACTATGCAGTAAATTGAAAGTGTCTTTATATGTGATTTCAGACTTTATCTTTCTGGGGACTATGCAGTAAATTGAAAGTGTCTTCATGTGTGATTTCAGACTTTATCTTTCTGGGGACTATGCAGAGCCTGGAATGGGCACCCCAATCCCCCAGCGCCAAACATCTATGTCAAGCGGTGTATCAGGACATGTTGGGTCATTTGATATGGGCTACGCTGGTGCACGCCCACCAATGATACACTCTAATTCATTCTCAAGCTGACGCTAAGTTAAACATCAACTCCTGTTTGACCATTTCATAGCTGACCATATTTGGCATTGTGAAGCTGATACAATAGTAACGCATTTGCACCTGTGGTATTAGTGCTGCTGTTATGTGAAGGTATTTGACTGACTGGCATTGGAAATTAAAAGCTGACAATGTCTGGTATTGGTCAGCAACCAATACACATCTGATGTGACAGTAACCTGTTCACAGCTGGCTAAATCAGATCACAGCTGTTACATGTAAACATGTTTTTGGAACTAACTGATATGCAGCTGTACAATATTGGATATGTGACTGGTTAACAGCTGTATCAAAAAACAAGAAAAATCCATTGAGGCCACAAACCATTTGATAATATATAATCTGGTCTAAACTAAAAGAAAGTGTATTCTTTCGGATTACTGTATAAACTGTATAGATAATGAGGAGGTACTTACTAAGAGAAATGTGCTTGTTAAAAAGTAGAATACAGTACTGATGCAATTAGATAAGTTTGCAATAAGATGATAAACATTACAGAGGATTGATTCCTAGTCAGAATTTAAGAGTGACCTGTTACATATGTGAAAAACTATCTACATGCTAAAAATATATATAGTAAAATGGGTCATGAAATGGAGCTGACCAAAATAATAATCTCCAAGGAATTTGAGCCATCACATGAGAGACACCAAATATTTGCCTCGAATGGCATAAATCGTATTGCCCAATGGATGTTGATGTCAGTGAAATATCATATGATTGTCCAAGGAATATATCATGCTGGTCATGTTTGGAGAGTGGAATCAGCAAGGAATAATGTAAACAGCCAGTTATGTATTCAGCATTTGGCAGGAAATTGTATAGAAATGCAAGAAAATCAACTTTACAGTGGAATAAGCATGGACAGCAAAATTTTATAAACTTGCATAGTTTGTGGGGATATAATATGTACTCTGATGTACATTATGTACTCTGATGTACATTATGCACTGGTGTACAGTATGTACTCTTATATACATTATGCACTCTGATGTACATTATGTACCCTGATTTACATTATGTATTCTGATGTACATTATGTATGCTGATGTACATCATGTACTCTGATTTATATTATGTACACTATGTACTCTGATGTACACTATGTACTCTGATGTACATCATGTACTTAGGTGTACATTATCTAGTATGCTGTAAATTACATTTAGCATTTTGAGATCTCCAACTTATAATCAAGCGTATATTTTATATTAAACATATGGTTTAGACCAAGATGGGAATATTAAACTTTTATACACATGTAAACAAACAATTATACGAGCTGATCTTAAACTTGTGTAGTGTCAATCATTAAAAACAACAATCCTTTGCTAGGCAACAACTCAAATTATAGTTGAAATATTTACTAAGTCATTTGAATATTTATGATTTTTGACAGAAATATGATAGGAAGAATATATGCTGTATTTAGTACATGTATTTAACTTACTTTTATAAACATTTTGACTGCATGAACTGAGGTATAATTTCAGCTTATCAATGTTGATAACCTTTATTTTTGGGATGGAAAAACCATTGTCATGCAAAAAAAGTGCAATCTCTGAATTTAGAAGTATTTTTCACTTTAAATAAACGTGGGGCAATAGCAATTTATAAATGTAATTTTGGTGAGTGATAAAATTGGCCAAAATATAAAATTTATGTTCAATAATTTTTAGCAATTTTACAAGTACAATTATCTGTTGCAAGTACATGTATATTAAACTTTGACTGCTTAAAGCAATTGCATGACATTTCCTCAAGTAATAAAGTTTTTCATCAAGTTTATATAATCTTTGTGAAGCGATCATTTCCACAAGTCTTCAAGCCTATGTAGTTCAAATATAATCTCTGTCAATTTTGTCATTAAACATCTCTTTTGCGACATGTATGCAATCTCATATGGAATAATTGAATACAAAGCAATATGAAATAATCTGCAATTTTTAGGATCACGGAGCAGGCTAGAATTCCATAGTTAACATGATACCATGACTGTGGAACTCTCTATATAATCTCTCTATACAAATGAAATCATTTGTTTTCTTAGCCATCAATAAGGGAGTGACTATATACATGTAACTGAATAAATAGATGTCAGCGCTTGTTTTTATTTGTTTTGGTTGGGCCAGACTGTCATAGGCTTCAATATTCTTAAAATCTCACAAAAATGAGAATTAGCGAGATTTGAAAGCTATAATAGAAACTCCTCTATTCATTTAGATCTCGTTATTGTTTTCTGGAAGGATACAACACCAACGTTAATTTGTATTTTACCTCAACTGTTTGCTATTATTTATAGCTTGTTTACATATACCATGTAGAATTAGCCATAATAAGTTATGTAGAGCTTCACTATAGTATACTATGTATTATATATTTTGAAAATCACTATGTACATAGTGTATATATAATCATTGTGCAGTATATATGAGAGTCACAAAGTTATATTGAGATGTACTGTTGCACAAAAGTTATTTTTAATGTATGTCTGATTTTTCAGAAAATTGTAAAAAATTGATTCTCGGATAATTCATTTTCTCGTTTTTATTTTTTCTGCATGTGATGTATATCTGAACTGTAACAGGCTTCATACTACATTTTGTTACTATGGTAACTAGTTATGTAAACAAGAGGGCTTTGTTGCTATATGTACAGTTAGCTTTAGTGGTAGTAGTTTTGAACAACCAGGGGTCCCTTTGCCAAACATCATAAACTTGCAGATCTTTTAAATCAGAGAAAGGACAATTGATTTGCAGATCCATAACTTTACGATGTTCGGAGAAATTGATTCCAGTTCCTAATTTCTACAAACAGCCATTTATGATACTAGTCTGATAATGCATCCCTCCTGCTTTGACTGAATGCATATAAACTGTAAAGTTTCTTATGATTGATCAAATAAAGATCATTAGACCCAATCTTCAAATGGCTCTATGAATAAGTGACATTTAGATCATTTTGAAACCATTGGTTCCTATTGAATTTTCACTGAACAGTCGATGGTGGGTTAAAGATTAGGTAATGGAGTAAAACGCTTCTGATCCCCAGGGAGCCTCAATCAACATGGTTACAAAGTAATAAGATAACATGTTAATTGATCCAAGCTATTTTTCTAAGTGTAACCACTTTTAAGCCACAATTGACTTTTCATGAGTGATACCTCGATAAAATGGATTTTACGAATTGTGAGGAGTAATCCATAAGTTTAAATAAGATATACAACATTATTTTATAGTTTCTTATTTCAAATGATTCACTTGCTGGAAGTTTCTGTATGATCTGTGTCGTGTATATTGACTGGAAAATATTGAGATTTTGTTTGTATCATGTCCCGCTATACCAACTTCTTGCATGATTTTAATTTCATTCTTTTATTTTTATATTGATGTATTTTGTGGATTTTGGTGCTGTATATAATTATACAATACACAGATGTATCTTTGTATAAAATATTCTCATTTTAATTTTATATGTAAATATAAGAGGATCCAACAATGAACCTTGGCTAACACCCTTAAATAAGATATTTTGGTGATTATTGTTTTCTCTCACTTGTCAGCCAAATAGGAATTTGCGAGAAAAAAGCCGATTTTCAATTGAATTGAACTAGATCTGCACCACATTTTCCATTGGTATTTTCCTCAGAAACCTGAACATTTTGAGTTTTTGTAAGGGTATGTAGCATGTTAATGAAAGCCATCTATACTAGGTACACCCCCTTCATAAGTTTAGTAACTGGGAGTCTCCATTTGATAGCATGTTAAAATATGTGGATGTCAGTTTCCATAGTTTAGGTCATTTTATTACAAATGAGTCAAAAATCATCAAAAAATTATCAGGGTTTGACATATGGTCAAAAAGGGGACTTTTGGTTACCAAATTTTTCAAGGGGAGTGTACATTTTATATGCACAGCAGTTGAATGACTGTATTGTTAAATATGTTAATAACAATACATACTGTATTATATTATAAAAGGTGTTTGTTTCATTCCTGACTTACCATTTGAATATGAAGAGATTGGCCAAATCTAAACACACAATCAACTCATACCTCAGGATTATTTTTAGCTCATGGTGAGCCTAGTACGTAATCACTCACAGGTCAGTCTATCCCCCATCCATCAAAAATTTTTGAACAAATGAAAACTGCAATTCTTCTTAACTATTGCTCATATGCATATGAGTTTCATACTTAACTTAAATTACGACATTGATCCCAGCACCTACATTTTTACCTCATATGGAGAAATGAGCTTTTTGTCAGCATTTTTAAATTATGAGCCTATAGAATGGTGATATTTTAAATCCAATGACCTATATTCCAGTGAAAGTATATCATGTATTATTATCCCATCGATTGTAGTTTGATTGAGAGGGATATAGAGAAGCCGTCTATAAAAAATATAACTTTTGATAACTCACATTAATATCAGTTGACAGGTTTCGTTCATGATCTCTATTAGGCTAGGCAAATGGAAGTTTAACATCCCCAAAATTGCAACAGTTTTTAAATTAGGCTTATATTGTATATTGATATCAGTTGAAAAACATATCAAAAATGTAGAAAAATATATGCAGTGGACAAATATGAAATGTCACATTCTAGGTACCCCCCTCCAAATTTGAGTATGGGATTGTAAATATTTTTTATTTCAAAATGGGATGCTCTTCTCAACTAAATGAGTAATATTATGATAGTTTACTGACATAAGAGCAACTAAAAATTGTTAACCAACTATTTGAGTGCAATAATTGGCATTTCTAGCCCCAAATATCTGAAAATAGGCCATCAAATAGCCTGAATTTAATATAACAATGTATTTATTTCTGTATCTATTCATCAGAATTGCATGAAAAAAATCAAGGAGGTTATTATACACCTGACCATTGTATTTGATAAGTATCAGGGTCATTAAGTGGATATTGAGGGTAAAAATAATATTTGAAATATCAATATTTTACCACATACCTTTTTGGGGTGACCTTGCTTTTGTTTAATTACTTCCAAGATATGTCATATTTGAACTCAATAGCACAACTAAATAATTTGTAAAGGCTTATTTTGTCCTGAAAACAGTTTTTTGATGTTTTCAGGAAAGGATTATGTAAAAAAAAGTAGAAAAAACAGCAAATGCCAGGTGAAATATAGGGGGAGCCCTACTTTTAGTTCATAACTGCTAAATTATCAAATGTTTTTTCCTTTTAAATTCAATTTGATATATAATATAACTTTTCTGGTAAAAGAGAGAACGATTTGTTAGAAATTAAGTACAATCGGTGGTCTAAAAATATCCTTGAAAAGGCAACAAAATGTTAAATATCCCTGTCCCTGACATCAGTTTATTAATATGAGCCAAAAAGGTAACCCAACCAAATGTTTGTTAATAACCCAGTCATTCAGCATGGGTGTGACATCATATTTGGCACAATTACCTTGTTCAATGTTCTTTCATTCTACTAAGTGTCATTGATCTATCCTTAATAGTCACGGTTTTATGGCCATTTACAAAATGTGCTCAAAATATCGCAATGTGCCTAACTGACTGGACATCAATACCACCATTTTTTATTATCTGTGGACCTTTTTTTCTATACTAACAACACTTGAAACAAGAGATAAGAATGAAGATGAGAGCCATGACACAAGATTTTTATGCTCCTGATTTGAACAACTACGTACGATACGTTCAAGTTGGCCTCCAGGCATGACACTCATATTTCATGGCATGGTATAAAAAGGCCATAAAAATCGTGACCACCAGAGATAGACCACTGAGACTGGGTAGATTGATAATACATTGACCAAGGCTCAATTCTGCCAAATATGACACTAAATCCATGCAGGATGACTGGACTGGGTTATTAAGATTTGTTTGGGATACGTTTTTGGCTCGCCCTGTATTAAGGAAAAAGAGTTACTTTTGACTACGGTGTTCTTAACCACACAGTGATATTGAGAAATGAAATGAAGAAGTTCAACTGAAGAATGTTGGATTTCAAGATGAAATTTAATAAAAAATGAGGAAAAGGTTTCTCCGTTAATGAATACTACTGAGTTAACTAGTGTAAATCCCTGGTCTTTATACAGGGCATGGCTCGATTATGTTATGTTCATTATCAAAAATGCTGCCTTAATTTTGTAATCTTAACCTTCATATATATTTGTCTTACTTATAGAGAGCAAAAAATAATGCTGATTAAATAAGCGAAAAAATTTTTGGGCCCCTAAACCCCTAAAGTGGGCCCAAATTTTGAAATATTGAGGCCCATTTTCTTCAAAATTTGGCCTGAAATTAAAAAATAAGGCCTTAAAAGGCCCTCTTATGACCAAAAACGCCCACTTTTAAGGGCTTTAAAGCCTTTTTTGGTCCCAATTTTTATTCTTGGCCCGCCCAAGGGGGCCCGGACCCCCAGCCCCCCCCCCCAGATCCGCCAGTGTTCATTATTTAGTCATCATTATTTTCATGATCAGTTATGGAGGTATTTGCACAAATGCCTTTGCATACCTACTTCATAGAAGTAAAATATGCCTAACACACACAATGGATGATCTCTGAGAGAGGGGAGTTGCATTTAGGCAATGGGAACAAACGTTTCGTTGCTTATTTCCCAGCAGTTTATTTCCCTCCCACTCCTGGATCTGATGGTATACTCTATAATTGTTGTTTTCCGCAGCATCAGAAGTTGGAGGAAGAACACGGGGCTGCAATAATTCATATCTTGCTGCTCTCTTTTAATAGAATTTTTGAAGCCTAAGTTCATTTAGGGTTTCACCATTTTTCCACCATAAATTGACAAAAGAGCATGTTCCTCGATCTGCAATGACAGAGTTACTTGCATTTCACTGGTTTTCCACTTGATTACGTTGTAACAAAATGTCGGAACATCGAAGATATGATTTTTCTTTTTTCCTTATTTCATGCGTTGTAGGCAGAATTATCACAAACATGTATCAGTATTATATGTTTAAAAAATGTACATATTTGCAGACAAATAGTTCAGAAGACAACAGAGTCGTAGATTTACTTCCTCACTTAAGTTACATAAACGGTATTTTGATAAACAGTTAAGATCTCACTTTGAACTGCCACCGTTTATGAAAGGAATTAAATCAACAATTCTGTTGTTTTCTGAGCTATTTTTGCGCAAACATGTATATTTCTAAAACATATGATACTGATACACGATTGTGAGAAAAAAACATCGTGGGGATTCTGCCTACAACGAGTGAAAAAAAGGAAAAAAGAAATATCGTGCCTTCGACGTTTAGATATTTGACCCGTTTCGGTAAGAAGCGTAATTAATCGGATCACCAGTGCTTTGATAATTTAAAAACAACCGCTTGTTTTCTCAAGAACTCACTCTTTTCTATCTGCCTCAATGATAGCTTCTTGTCTATGCCATATATAACCTGAATGCGTTGTCACACCCCAGAAAAGATAAACAAAATATTGTCACAGACCACTTTTCCCGAAGACAATCTTATTTCATTTTATATTCCAACATTTTGATTCTTGGGTTGCTGCTTTTGGTTCAGGTTTGAAGAAAATGTTGAAGTTTGTGTTTTGTGCATGATAAATGAGAAGCACAAGGAGATCTGTATGAGTATACTGTATTTGAGGTTTGGACACTTTGCATTGCAGTTTTCACAATCACGATATCTGCATCCGATTCTGAATGTAGCACATGTACACTCAATGTTTTCCAACCTGACAGACAGATTTACCATCATTCCTACGTACTGAAATTATATTAATGAAAGACTCTCCAGATATCTGAGATTTAAATGTGCTCTATCAGTTTAAATTCCGTTTAATAACCATAAATTCGTTTCTACAGCATTATACATCCAATTTTATAGTTCAAAAGTAATGTACTCTTAATATGTAATGATTTATTTATCTGATGAATTTAAATTTTGTAATTGCGGATTGTAAATAATAATTTAAACAATATTAAATTCCACAGAAACTACAACTTACATTATTTAGATAAGCCTAGTATAGAGCAGTTATCAAATACCCTAATATCAGAGTGGTGATATGTAATTATTCATCAAATACAAGTGAGGTCACCTTAACATTTCACCTGGTGCAACTAATAAGGTATAAACCGTCACAAAACTTGTATTTTAGATGATGACAATCCTATATAAATGATTTAGATGTCAACTCTAATACAAATGTGATGCATTGTGGGAGTTAGTCATCAAAACTATAGTCTCCCCTATAGTAGGCGGGGCAAAACTATGAAAATGAAATAATTTTTTTCTTCCTAAGTATACACGTTAGAATTCTGACACTCACCAAATATGAAGTTCATATAAATATGTAACACCATGATTTTTTTCATGCTTTTCTGACTAACTGATCCTAAAATATCTAAATAGATATGTGAAAACATGCCTGTTTAGTGGCCTATTTTGTTATACTTTGGGGTCAAATGACCAATTACTGGTCTCAAAAATGGTTAAAATAATATTCTAATTATTTGTGAATATGTGGTCTATCATAATAAAGCTTGAATACTTGACTAAAGTGTTCCATTTGGGAAGGAAAAATTGTTTCCTACCAATACTCAATTTTGGGGTAGGGTTGTAGGGGGTACCTAGGAAGTGAAATTTCATATTTGTCCACTGCATACATTTTTCTACATTTTTGATATGTTTTTCAACTGATATCAATACATAATATAAGACTAATTTAAAAACTGTTGCAATTTTGGGGATGTTTGGGCCTTTTATGAGCCCATTTGCTTGGCCTATATCTGTATATGGTGATTACTGCTCAAGAAGGAATTTTAAACATGGCTGCTAAATTCAAAATGGCCGCTTTTGTTGGTTGATATAATGATTTGTTAGGTGGGATTTACTACTAAGGGAAATTGATGTTTTTCTAGATTATCTTAATATGAATTGATTTCGGCAAAAATACTCCACAAGTTGCCGAGGTCCCTTTTTTCTTAATCAAATCTGTTATGTTTTGCAGCATTTTAGCATTACCTCATATTAATGTTTGCTCTAGCCAATCCATACAATTTGTTCATCAAACACAAAAAATCTAATTAAATATACAACATTTATTGATTTCATACAAAACATACAATTACACTAATAAATATCAAACTTGCACAATTAGATAATATTTCATCAATATTATCAGAATTTTTTTTACCGCTCATCGTCTCTATGGTGAGATTTCATAATCTTGGAATTCAATCAAAGTGAAGGTAAAACATAAAGGATGGTCTATCCTCATACTCTAAATCATTTCTACGGATAATAAAGTTCAATAATAAGGTCCTTCAAGCATTTCAACCTCTCAACAGTTCCAAATTGGGAGAGCACCAATACACTGCAACTAAAGATGTTTATGTCACGAACATGGCCACAGATGCTCCAAGAAACCAATCAAATTCCTTGAAGGGTAAGTGTAAGATCTTCAGCCATCTTAGGGGTGGTGGTCCAAAATTCGTTACCCACTCCAAATTAGCATTTAACAAGAGTTGGTCCGACATTTTGCACATTTCCGCCATATTTCATCATCATTTGATGGCAACTTTGAATTCCTTTTTTGTCGCCTAATTTCTCGTATGTCTTTGACGCCTCTGTGAGCATTCCCGCACGCTGTCCTGGAGCCGATAGCAATTGTGTGGGAAGATGTTTGCAGGCAAGTAACAAGGCATTCGCATATTCACGTTCACCCATTTTGTCTTCACTAGCATTATCTGGAACACAAAAGCAAAATCATATAAAATGAGCTTAAACTTTGATTAGAAGAGGGCATCAGTGTGATCAACTTGATCCCAGTCTGACATATAAGCACATCTCAGTCATCCATAATTTTCAATCAAGTTCATCATGTTGGGCAGAACAGAACAGAGAGATTTTAAACCTATTATACCTCCACAATATAAAATTGCAAATGTGATATTTGGCTATTTGCCATTCTTTACTTATGAAATCAAGATTTAGCCCCTAACCCATTGAAATTCGTCAGTAATGAAATTGTAATTACTCCCTCCGCCTAAAAATTGACTCGATTCTTCCACAACTCAGACCATTGGATCCCACCCCTTATCGCACGATAGAATAGAATGTTTCCAAACCTTTTTCATTGTTGGCTGGGGTGTGCCTTCTACGCAAGCTCCTATCGAGGAGTTGTTGGGTTCTTGCTGGACTTGCTCCTGCCATTAATCTCGCAGTGGCCTCATGCAAGAATACCTAGCAATTATATAAAACAATCATGTCAATGTAAATATCTCTTGCTGCAAATTCATTTTATTTCTATCACATTAAATTCACATATTTTTGAGATAAGATTATGAAGTTCTTGTTGAAAATTCAATTTTTTGGAGGTAACATTTTTAATCTTTTAGACAGTCTTACTGACTAATATTTTTTAAATCAATACAATACAATACAATAAAATACAATTCACTCGATAGATGCACCTATTCTATCCATTCAAGATTGAACAACCATTCTAGTTTGAACAGCCATTCTAGATTGAACAGCCATTCTATTCCCCACAAACATCTACTTTTCTAAATAAAACTGCTATTTGAAGAAATGGTACATCCACATTTACTAATATCAAACCCACCTTTGGTAATGCAGCTTTAAGTTTTTGCGAAAGTTTTCTTAGGCTTGTGAGGTCAGCCTGGAAGGCTATGAGCTCCCTCTGTGAGAGTGTCATCATGACATCCTCTCCTGCCCCAGACTCCTTCTGCCACACCCCTGTACGTGTGTTCAGCAGCCAATCACAGGCAAGCAGCTCAATTGCCTGAAGAAAACGGCAGTATATAGAATTTACTGAAGTATAGAAATATTTGTAGAAACAAGCTTTGAATATTCAAATTTCAATTCACATTAAATGCTGTTTACGCATTGCCCAAATGACCCGAACCAGAAGGTATATGTCCAGACTATCTGCAAGGGACTGTTTGTATATTTATTTCAATAGTCTGTCTAATTTGTTGCAAGAGCCTGTCTCTATATTTGTCGCAAAGGCCTGTATCTATATTTGTTGCAAGGGCCTGTCTCTATATTTGTTGCAAGGGCCTATCTCTATATTTGTTGCAAGGGTCTGTCTCTATATTTGCACAGCAGATGCATTGCACTGTTATATAACATGCAATGCAACTACAATGCACTAAAGTGACAGCCAATATTCCTCCATGTTGTTTCTTTCAAGGTTATTAACAGGTAAATACAATCTTATTTGTAATGTTATTTATTGTTCACTGGTTTAATGACAAACTGGCAATTCTTAGCAATGATAATCCAAATAACTCATGGACTTCACTTTTTGGGTTTGTTTTAAAAGGTATTCTTGAATTGATTAAATACAATCAAAAAGGTTGCTTGCTATATAATAAATAAATATCTTCATCAAATGATATGAAGAGATGCGTACCTGTGTGATTTCTGCATACTGTTTGTTGCCGGACATATTGAGGCTGTCTCTTAACAGTTCCCCAGCTCTGTTGCACTGTTTAATACAGTTGTAATGGCACGATCCCTTGCATCCACCGAGCAGGTTCTTGCGAGCCTTGAATGCGATGTAGACACTTCTTGGCAAAGGATTTCTGGAGAAAAATGTTAATCTAACATTATTTATCCATGTAAATCATTCAATATTGTACAATTTCATTTAACTTCTAATTTAAAAAAAAGTGTCTCCTGTTTGGATGCAATGAAATTTTATTCATCATTCGAACAAAAAAATCTTTGAAACTCACTCAGTAGCCTGAAGATACTTTGGAAAACTTTCCACGGCTCCGTACAACTTCTCCGCTGCGGCATCATCACCATTCAGCCAATAGGAAGCCACAGCAATGACATTACACCACCATTTTGAAACATCATCCAACCCCTGTAGAGACGTCAATGAGGTTGTGGTCATCATACCAGCGTTGCTAGCACATTCGTCCAATAGTTGCACAAACTGAAGAACCTCAGCTGTGTGGGGCCCACTGCAGAACAAAGAAGGTTTACATTACCCACAATACACTCTCTTCTTTTAGAACATAAGATCAACAAAGTGATTGTGTACTGCATAAAAGGTACTTTGGCTAAGATTATGATGAATGAACTAACATACCAAAAATTTGCTTCATAAAAACACTTCACTTTTATAAGGAAACCAATTTTGTTGCAAAAATGTTTCGAGCGATTTATATATTATGATCCAAGTTCCTCCAACTGTAACTTCAACGAACACCAATTTAAAACAAGGCATTAACGTGCAAAATATCACCACTATCCATTTGTTAGACGCCAAATGCCGACTACTGAATGCGAACACCAACTGCCAAACACCATCCACAAAATTGGAGACACCAACAATATGTCACAACTTGTGGTGGTGACATAATAAATCTTCGAAATTTCCTACATACTAACCTTACTGTGACAGTTTCCCCCTCACTATTATACCCTGGTGTCACAAGTGTGTAGACCGCCTTCTTGAGGAGATGATCCCGGAAGTCTCTCGCAATGTAAGCCAATGGGTTGGTCTCATCAGAAATTTTACTGAAGATGGAGTCCCGTTCTTGCACTGTGAGTTTATTATCCACAAAGAAGCGATGTCCCAGGGGATGGCATAACCATTGGAGGGAGTGGGCGGTGCTTGTAGAAGAAATGCAGACACGCCTTGCCTTACTCAAGAAGAATCTCTGAAATAAACATTGACTTAATTAAACCGAAATCTGGATGGTTCTATTTTGCATAGTAAAGTGATCTGAAAGTAAGTTGTCCACAGTTTTTTAAATTCCACGTACTAGTATATAAATTATTTTACTTATAAGTGAACTGTGGTAAATATATAGTACATTAAGTGATTAGCACCGTTATTAAAACTAACATCTGAATCCTGTAATCAACCGAGATATGAAACAGTTCAAGAAGTTGAATTCTCAAAGCCACTTTCCAACAAAGTTCACCATAGACAGGACGCCTTGTCAGTGATTTTCTTAAATGGATTAAAGCCAAACTGACTTAAGACAGGAACTCAATTCTTCAGTAACACTTACTGCTAAGAACTGCAGCCTGTCTGGGAAGTACGTCTTAACACTGAGGGCAGCCGTGGCATAGATATCTGTCAGTGTCTGTTTGTCCATAGCAGGGCCTGCTGTCTCTCCAAGGTTGACAGCACACAGAGCAAGGTTCATGCTGCTGTAGTCTGTACCAGCTACCTTATCTTAATACAAATAGTACATATATCATTATTGAATGGAGGGATCCTTTGGAAAACTCACTCACTCACTCTTAAACTAGAAAATGGCAACTCCACCTAGTAGCAAATCCCAACGGACTGACGGAGGGCTTCACTATATCCCTACCGAACTTTGTTCGTTGGGATAATTAGGAATAAATAACTAAACTTTTGAATGGTCAAGTTAAATATTAGATGAAATAACTAAAAGGAATTGTGTTTTAACAAGTCAGAAAATCTTAACATGCATTAAATTGACTCGCTAGAAAATCATAAACTTCATTTTCGGAAATTATCAGACTGAATCAGTGAGCATAATGAGTCATGACACTTTATAATGGCATTTACACAGTGATTTATATATAATTGGATGTAGAATACTTACCAGTCATGTATAAATGATTCAGCTTATTATACACAACGGCTGCATCGTGTGCCGATGTCTGTATGTCTGTCGCCTTTATGTTGTCATAGCGAAGCATACCAGCTTTCCCCGTCATCCAATGAGCAATGTGTAAACGATGCAAGATCTGACGGAACGATTGCCAAAGGAGGCTAGCAAATAAGTCAAACTTTGATGTTGGTAGAGGGCGCCCGAGTGCTTGGAGACATCGTCGTAGATTGTTTGCAGCATTTGTGTATTCACCCTATAAAAGAGGTTCAATTAATCCACAATGCTTTGATTTGATTCCCATAATGCATCAACATGAGCAGGATTTAAAACTTACAACTACTTAACTAAACAGCCCATACAATGGGAATCACTTTTCACTTGGAAATGAATTTGGAAAACCAGTTGCTTATTGTGCAATGGACTGAATGCCAATGTGGTAAATTGTGGCAATAACACTTTCAATCTTAGTTGAAAGAATGAAAGGTCAAAATTATTAACGCATGTGATACATAAACATGCCCAAAATCACCCTTTACACATACATTAACCATGGATGTAGACAAAAACCCAACTCACCCTCACACAGTCAGCGTCAGCCTGCTTCTTATGACGCCAGTATATGACAGAGGCATCAGAGAGAGCTTTCGTGACAGGCTCCCCATACACCAACAGCTTTGTAAGTACCGCAATGATGACTACGGCATTCAAGGCCCATACTGATACACTTGGAATTAGCCAGTTAGTCCAGCTTTGCAGTTCACTCACATCTGAAAATAAGAACATATTTTGAATCTGAATGTTGTGCCCAACAATTTGTATTCTTGTAGATCTTAATTATTCTAAAATATAATTAAACTCAATGATCTATTCAAAATATATACACATGCTCAACTTTAAAATTTTCTTATAAGCTTACCTTCATCGTAGGAGTTCAATGTTCTTCCGCTAGCATGCCCATGCCCGTAATCGTCAGAGGTCCCTAGCGCCATCTGGTGTCCAAACAGCATACTAAATGGATTGAACATTAGAATGCCAAACATGAAGGCACAGAGGGCCATCCTAGAACGGTCCACCATTCCATAGTTGGTGAAGCTAAATGCCTCCTTGGTTTTGTCTGAAAGAAGATTAATGTACATTTATACATTACGACAAATAAAAGAGACAACCTTTTAAAAATTGATTCTCTCAACGCTCAAAGGACTCCTTGGTTTTGTATGGAAGAAGAATATTAAAGATCTTTAATTGTTATAAGTCCCTTAACCAGATGGGGAATAACAAACACCAGGGTTCAAAGATGACATACGCTTATAATGTAAACCTGTATTAAGATGACATACACCTCTGATTGGTCAAAAGTAGACAAACAAATGATGTCATCAAAGGGCAGTTTCAAAATTTTCAAAATATGCATGCATTCGAACGAACGAAGGTGGTAAGCAAGAGATTCAATTATGTCTGTCATCTTTAAAACTCTGGGACTTTCCCTCCTCTTTCCCTTAACAACAGTTATTATGATAAAAGGAGCTAAATGACAATTTTATTTGTGAAACATGAGGATCTTTAAAATCATTCAAATAATAGGCAAATCAACCTATTCAAATTTCCTTATATGATAGTAAGTAGTGTTATCAGAGTGAACTTAATTTTTGTCACAACTAACAAAACTCATCTCAAAAACATGATTTCAATAAATCATGTGGAACATAATAAGCAAAATAAAATTATAGTAAATACATGTACATACTGGGAGATATTTCATCAAATCTGGGGCTCATAGATCCTGTACTGGAGCTGCCTTCTCCGTCGCTCATAGACCGAGGGCTCATGGATGAGGGGGGTGGGGACACAGAGCCTGGGGGTGTCAGGTCATTTATTTCTGTCTTCACTTTATCGCCAAGCAAAAGATCTTCAATATCTAAAATAAGAGCATGTTCATTAAGTGATGTCTAGGTGCAGGGAAAAAGCTGAATATCAAAATATGACAAAATCTTTGTGAAAGCAACTTTATTCTGTTTTTACGGAGCAGTTTATGAAAACTAGGACCAGTATAGAATTCAATTACTCTCTCTGTTCTCATTTTTTGAAATACTTACTGACGTTCTTGTTTTTCTGTAAGTGCATTTTCAGCACAAGATTTTCTTGCTTCAGCCTCTGGTTTGTGGATTGTAAGAAGCGAATGTATTCAACAGCCTTGCGTAAAATAGCTGACTTGTTCAACTAGAAACAAAAATAAAATAATAAAAACACAGTCAACCTCTTTTCATCAAGTCTAACCCCCCCACAAAGTTAGATGGTAATTTACGACAAATATATTCTTATTTGACTGACTTCAGAGAACACTTATATTCAAAAATGGTTAACATTTTGAGATGACCCCAAATGTCAGTTAATGTTAAAATCCATGAACATCTGCAAATACATGTTAAGAGGTAGTTCCTAAAATAGGTGTGTAATAGAAGACTGTTTGCACATGTCTGTTATAGTTTATCATTTTTGTGTTTCTTGTTTGACTACACCACTTGCCGATTGCGATTGCATAGGCACCCCTTACAACATATACCTCGAAAAAATCATGAAGATAAAGATTGTGAAGATAAAATGGAATCGGCAAGAACTAGCGTGAACAAGCATCGGGTGTATAATTTTATGAAGATGCAAGAAAACCACCTCTTTTAGCAAATGTTTATCGAGGATAAACAAAACACATGAAAACAGCAGAACCCTCACGAGAAACTTTTTAAAGGTCAAGGTCACTTTTTACATATTTTTTGAACATGAATAGCATCAAATTAATTAACCAATTTTTTTAACAGGTCACATTGACATTGCTAATATTTAGCAAGTATATATATTTATAAGCATACTTTTTCCGCTTATGTAAAAGTACAAAAATGTAAAAAATCCATGTCACGAATTTCACTGAGACAATGTAAGTTAATATGTCGCTTGTACATTTTGTTGACATTGATGGATCTATTAATCAAGAATGGTTTATGGTTTGAACAGGAGCATTTATCAAAATCAATGTGGTTAATCAATCAATTTATAAGTTATGAAGCACATACAGAACTGGTTGTAAAAATTTCATCCATTGTAGGGCCACTTCAGACTTTTAAAATCAAAAACATTTCTAAGTTCAATTTCTTATCTCACTTGCAAAATATATCCTGTTGTATCTCTAATCGTAATATTTGATATTTCGATAACCCAGCATTGTAGTTTACTTTAACAAGGTACTTCACTTGAGTAACACTAACACATGTCTACAGTCGACATTTTAACACACTCCCAAATTCATGTCCTTTTTTAGCCAGACTTGTTTGTACAATATACATGCCCTTAGATACGAGAACAATGCTTCAGAAATCATATTCAATTTGTTAATTCAACATTTCATCATTTCTCAAGCGCATGATTGTAAATATATATTTCAGTTCCCTTAAAATAACACTCACAGCACTGGAGCAAATGAACACTGGATCATATTACAAACTGATAAAAAATAGCACTTTCAAAGTGTGATTAAAAAGTATCCATAATGATATCAACCAAATAGGTTACACAGTGTTTGCAAAGCACAAAGTTGAAAAATCCATTTGCAACCAGCTGAAAATTTGAAAAATATGACACATCAAACAAATATAAAAGAACACACAGGAGGACACTTATTTGTATAAGGTCTATGCAGTCATAACTATTGCCCATTTCATCAATAAGATATGTTACTATGGTAATTTCTCACCTTTGCTTCTGTGCCCACAATGAGATCTTTCAGCTCCATGATCTTATCATTGATGCTTAATCGATAGCGTTTTTCTATTGCATTATGGGCCGTTCTCTTTTCTCCCTTTGCTGGCTTGGGTGGCGTATCGTCCATGCTATCAGAGGGGAGTCGATCGATTGGAAGCTTGTCCGGCTGAACGACCTGTATTGGGATACTTGTCAGGGACATCGCGTTGCCATTGGTGACCAGCGCTTGTACCGGAGAAGATGTGATTGATGTGTTTATTGAGCTTAAAGCCTGTGTGGTTAATACGACAGTTGGTGTCTGCGTGGCAGCAGGAGGAGGGCTTGCTACGACGCATGCTTGTTCAGCCGCCTCTGTCTTCACTTGGACACCAGATTGAAGTAATAACTAGAAACATCAAACAATAAAATTAAATTAAATGTTAGTTTTTATTTTCAATATGTAATGGCCAATCTAAAATATTCAAATATCTTTTTAAAAAATAACTTCTTCAATTTTTTTCAATTTGCGCATTATTTAAAGATAATTAACAAGAATACCAGAGAAAGCATGCCTACAGTGTACGTTCTACTTACAAATCTAGTTTTTCAAATCAGTGAGCCTCGTGTATTCTGATCTGAGCTTCTCTAACCTAACCCAAGCTTCAACTGATGCTAACTTACAAAAAACACCCCTCATAGAACACTCTTGACCTTCAACTTAGAACAACCCACTTAATCAATGTCAAGAATATTTGTTTTACTTTTGTTCATGGCCTTATGTATATGGAACCCTTTATTAAAGTGACTCGGCAACTACCCTTGAATAAAATATCTCAGATCATTTAGGTATTGATATTGATTTAACTAATTTAGTGCATTTAGTGATTAAGATTTATTTATGTTTTAAAAGTTTATTTTCACTAGAATCTTGTTATTTCTTCTGTTTCTCATTATTATTATTTTAGATTGTAAAAATTATACAATGAGCATTCAGACTATCACCATGGCAACAAACAAAACAATCCAGCTGTGAAAAACATCAATTTTCAAATTCATCATTTTTCTCTTCATTAAAAGGACCCATGTAAAGTTTCAACTACTTTGGCATAGCTTATACCTATTGCTACAAACTTTTTTAAAGAGAATACCAAAATGATAAAAACAATTTCAATCAATTATGTGGGCCCTTAAAATGTACCTCATTTCTTTACATTTCAATATTATAACATAATCTGGAGGGTACGTTTTCAAATTCTTTTTAATTTGGGGTAATTTCTCTCTTTTTGCACCTTTGGATATAAATCCAGACTCCTGGGAGTACCTTATTGATTGCAATGTCAGTAAGATTGATAGCGCAAATGCAAATATTTGGTAAGAAAATATTATTCATTGTGATTTTGAAATATGGATGTTAGAAAAAAACTGGTATTTGTAATGTCTGAAGCCAAGTGCAAATAGGCTGTATACAGTGTATGTAGCACTTTGGAGGTGTTCTACTTACAGAGGTTCATTTAACATGAATTCAATTGTTCATGGGACTCTGAAGTGTTCCACCTACAGAAATGTTCCAATTAAAGAGGTGTTCCACTTTACAGGTTAAGTCAAGCAATTCACAACATGTCAGGATAACTCCATCACAAACGCGAGCATTTTCAAATAAGGTGCCATTTTTGTGTGAGGAGTGAAGGCTTTATTTCTAACAGTTTGGCATATAAGATGTTACAATGACAGTACAGAGGGCAACACATAGATCATTTCAAAGGTGGTTAAACAGACCATTTCTCCAGATAAAACATGTTCTACATTTGAAAATAATGAGACAGATATTCTCGCTGAATGTTCTTGCAACATTTGGTTTATTTAACAATCAATGAGTCAAGTGTGAAAAAGATCCATGATAATAATACATGTATTCTAATCATTTATTTTTCAGGTCGCCTAACACCAATAAGGCGAGCTTTTGAGACCCCACTTATGGGACAATTGAAGACTAATAATAATGTAGACACATTTTAAAAGTGAAATCATTTCAATTATCACGGAATGGTTTAAATTAGCTACCAATGTCACGTGTTACATTGACAGATGGATTGTCGGATAGGCATGGGTGATATTGGTTCAGAGGATTTTTAAAGAGAAAATGACCCAATGACCAATTTTTGAATTATTTTGCTCAAAATTGCAGAAAAACATTTGACAAGTCCAACCAGGGAGGTTCTGGGAAGATCCAGGAAGCATTGATAATTAAATAATAAGGGCCTCTGATATATTGGCCTGGTACTTTAATAAAATTGAAGTTTCTTTAAATTTTTACATGATGGGAACTACCTCACCTGTTGAAGCTGCTGTGTATTTATACTGCTCAGTTGCTGCGTGTTGATAGTACCAAGCTGCTGGGGCTGTACAATCTGGGGCTGAGATTGAACCTGTGGGGGTGGGGACGGGGTCTGGATCTGAACCTGAGGGGTCAGGAGCTGCTTCAAGTTCAGCTGATCTGAGGGTGTGATTTGAGTTTGGGCAACACGTGGTTGTGTTAACTGCTGTAACAGCTTCTGTAATGCTAACCTCTGCTGTTCTTCTTGCTGCTGTTGTTGCTGCTGCTGCTGCTGCTGTTGTTGTAAATAACTGTTCAATAATGTTGTATTTAGAGTTGTTGTTGTTGGTGAGGTTGTTTGGGGTGCAGTCAACGTCTGTGGCTGGATTCGAGCAGGTACTTCCTGCTTCACTTGTGTTTGAGAGAGGACTGGATTATTGGCATAATTGACCAAATCATCAAAGTTGAGATCATCTGTTAGCATAGAAGTTTGATCAGTATTGAGTACACTGTCACTGGGCAAGTTGAGTGAATCGTCCAGAATAGTGAAATTGTCCAATTTAGTATCTTGTTGGATATACTGTGTGAGATCTGGAAAATAAAATTTCATTGTACTCACGAGGCATTTACTGAGCTTGACTGCCTTGAACATGATCTGAAAAAAATATGGCGCATACCGGGGGCGCGTACACCAAGTTCAACTCATGCGTCAACTTCAAACATGTTTAAATAGATGTTGATACATAAATCATTGGGCTTTGAAATTAGTAGATCTTTCAACTGGGTCATGACTCATGTATGGGGTGAGCAGAGGAATAACGCCACATCAACTTTCCCCCCTCCCTTCCACGATCCCAAACAGATGTCAAACATAAATTTCATATGGGCTTGTAGCTCGTACTATACATTTGATATCTGTACATAACTGGCATCTAAAAGATGTGACACGGGTAGCATTCATGAGAACATGAACATGTTTTGCTTTATATACTATCGTATAGAAGAAGTTACCGTTGCATATCATAATATCAGATGTTTTCAGAATTTTTTTATGAAATATCTGAGCGGAAGTGACCGTGTTTACATTCACATTTATGCAAAACTACATGGTCAATGTTAGCAAAAATTTACTAAAATGTGACTTACCATCTAAGTTGTCTAATACATCATTTTCGAGCGTTTCACTTGGCATTAAATGGTGTTTTAAATCGGGTAAAGGGTCCGATGAAAACGGCCAGTTCATTCCTTGGTCCGCCATGATGCTGTCTTGTTGCTGATAGTATGAGCACAGTCGACCAATCAGAAACGAGGACAGCATCGGCTGATTTTACGTCGTGAACTCAGTAGACTACAAAATGTGGAGTATACATAAAAGAACTTGGAAAATGTCCAGGGTTAAAATCCGGGCTAAAAGCGTAAATTGACGGGTATGAATAACAATAGAAACACAGTTTTCACCTGCACAATTTTGTTCGTGTGCCAAATAATATTCGCTAAACCTGAGACTAACATAAATTAATGATGGTCTCAGGCGACACGACTATATATATACAAATAGTGACTACCATTGAGGGCAATAGTGTAAATTATTTCCCCAAGGGAATATCCTCTACAATGTACTATTCCCGAAGCCGCACTATACCCTATACTGACTCTTGTCCCGTCTCCTCTGCGAAGGCCAAAACGGCTTAGAAAGCCCCCTCCCCGGGTCCATTGTTAGCATTATAAGCTGTGACGTCATCAGATGCTCAACAGAAATGTTTGCCTCTGAGACTCTCACTTGACAAATTCAATCGCGTTTAACACGCGGAATAGATTATCATAACACTTGAAATTACACAGACGTATTGAGCTTAGGGAACTTTATACACGTTGCTTATATTGTATCGTTCACGCACGTCTGTCATGGTGAACGGAGTTGATTTGTGTTTGTGCTCATCCTCCATTTTTCTGTTTTTCGTCTGCGCAGTGATGATGCGCAGACGTTTCCAAGGGTAATAGAACTTGCAATTGTGACGTCAGCGGGCAATAGTTCAAATGTATATTCCCGCTGACGTCACATTTGAGGGAATATAACTTTCCGAGGGAAATAGGAAATCTATTTCGGAACACGTGACTAGGTATTGACCAATCAGGATTTGTGTTACATATTGGGTATATAATAATACAGTATATTACATAATGCCCGATATCTAATGAACAACCCTTCAAAAAGTCCTTGGATTTTGATATTTCGATGCTAAGAAAATCATTTACAGCACACACTAAGTCATTGGTTTTCCAAATTTTGAAAGAATTTAATTTTTGGGTCGGCTATGGGGCTTAACTTGATTTGGAGGAGTGCAGAATGTCATTCGACTTTTTGATCATATCTGCACTTCACAGTTCAAAGGCAACTTATGTAGTAATATAAAACCACCTTCTAATTGCCTCATTGACCCTTTATTGTTTCTTTTATCCCAAAATCAGGAAATTAGGGTGATAAACAGGGGGATTTTGTAGGGACGAATTTCAATCACAAAAAGTAACTTCGAGTGACAATTTAAACACCTCCCTCGAGTGTAATTTAAGCATTCTCATTGGTGTAATCATGATTGTAAATGATTTGTCCAAGTGCCGGTAGTTGTGCTGACATAATCTTTATTTTCCTCGTGAAACAATCAACAATGATAATTCCGTCTTCACATGCGCCATGGGATTTCCAGAATATTGCAGAATGTTCCAGATTGAAGTGACTCTGCATTTTATAGATTACCAATCAGGGATTCTGCAAATTTAAAATGACGTCATTCCGGATGTTGTGGCAAGTTGCGCAAATTGAGCTGCGCATTCGTCCGATGTTGACATTTTGTGGATGATTCAGCAACGAAACGTCTGAAAGTCATCGTCGATTTCATCAGTTCGAACCATCGAGAGCCCCATTGCTCCATATATAAAGGGGGTCTACAATTCAGTGATCATTACTAGACAACTGTCAACTCTAAACAGACTGAAGGGAAACGCTGAAACTACGAGTTATACAACGCAATAATCTAAATAAGGACTAAGGAAAAAAATTTAAGCTGAAGTCTAGATCGAATTTGAAAGAAAACAAAAATGTCTCTAACGGTGAAGGCCTATTTACACCAAGGGAAACTTGGTCCAATAGAGGAAGCTGAAATTCGAAGGTTCAACATTGATCAAGATGTTTCGACAAATTTCGAGTATTTTTCAAAGAAATTGATCCAGATCTTCCCTTCATTGAAACCTGACAATTTCAATGTGTACTGGAAAGGTAAGCTATTTGTATTATTTGAAATCATTTCATGTAGATCTATAGTATAGCAAAGGATCTGAAAATCTTCGGGGTTATGATAGATATACTCCAATCACAGTCGAAGAGAATGTTCTGGTGAAAGGAGATTGGGATTCCAAATTCTAGTTATTGATATCCATTTTGTTCGAAGAACGTATTATTAGACGACCGTGACTCCAGTCTAATTTTTTGTTACGTGATCTTATCCTATAACAAAATATCTCTTATTTTACAGATGAAGATGGTGATTTTATTGCCTTCTCCAGTGATGATGAACTGATGCAAGCGCTAGGCTATCTCTCAGAGAGCGTATTTCGTGTACATTTGGTGGTCTATGTGCAGGGCGGTAAGTTCATTTGGATAATTTTTACTTTGAAACAGACTGAAGTGAGTGTCACAACAATCTTCTCAACAAAAGCAGGGATACACATGTAATCTATTTTTACGTTATTTTAGTACTAGAACAGATTTCAAAAGAATTTCATTGATATATTTTTTCATGAGTCAGCTCTTTTTACATCAATGAAACAAGGAAACAAAGGAAAAAAACTAAAAAATATTTTTGTTGGTCATCAAGGAAGCGAAACTGAGATAATTGTGACATTTCCTAAATTAACAACCTGACCTAATACATGTACAAGCTATTATGAAATAATCTACATCTATCATAAATACCAATTAAAGCTCTATGTTTTTGAGCAACATAATTAATCACCATATTTGATCACAAAATGTTTTAGACGGTGAACACCGCCTCTAATGCGTTGGATTGTCGTATGGACTTTTATGTATTGAGGCCTTCAAAGATGACTTGCATTTTCACTGTTATTATTCAAAGCCGCCATATTGGAAATTATATAAAATGACCTTAAACTGATTACATAGTGTTTACAAACATGAGGCTCCCAATGATGACTTGCATTTTTCTGTTATATCAGCCAAATTAAAATCTAGATATATAACAAGTTTAAGGTTTTTAAAGGCTGACATCAAAATAATTCTGGAACATTCAATGAAAAGCATTCATTCCTATTGTTATTAAAATTGTAGTTAAATTAATTTTACTTAGTAATACCAAATGTGATTTCATAATTTTAATCTATTGATTTTAGTGGGGCTCACAAAGGTGACTCACACTATTGTGAAATCAAATTCAAGATTTATTGATTACTAGAATCCTGTGATAGTGAATCACATTAATGATAAATTGTGACACATGTTTCAAAGTTTAGGTTTATTATAATTAAATGTCAAAGTGTTTTTGAAATTAACATTTGCTATTTGATTTGAAAACTATATTAGTTCTTGGTTGTGAATCAATACAAAAAACTGGTCTTCCTATAGGCACAGCGTTTGTTTTCTTAATAATAACCTGTATTTATCTGTTAGATTTAGAATCGACATATTATTAATATGCATTTGCTATTAAATACACATGATTATATAAAACTCTAATTTATGTAATAAACTAAAAATAGATTTTGATAATATGAAAAGCTGAATTTTGATATAAGTACCATTTGAAACCAATTCATAGTTTATGAACTCTTTTTATTTATTTTATTTTTTTTACATATTGTTATTGTCTCTAACTTTTTGTGGATGGTGTTCGTCGTTAGGTGTTCAGCCGTTGGCATTCGCCATCTATAACAAATGGCAGGTGGTGACATTTTGCATGTTATTCTCATTTTCATTTTATTATTTCGTTACAATTACCATTTTATATTTCAAACATTGTTATAAGAATTTTAAATCACATTTGTAGGTGGTGAAAGGCAAGGAGAAGAAGAAGGTGTCCTCCACCCCAATGTAATATGTGATGGCTGCCAAGGGAGTGTGAAGGGAGCACGATACAAGTGCGTCCAATGCCCAGACTATGACCTCTGCAATGAGTGCTCAGCAAAGGGACTCCACTCCGAACATGAGATGATTCGCTTCTGCCAGCCAGTCTCCTGGCCATTTATGGGCCCACCTGGACCTCATGGCCATCACGGGCCTCCACCGCCATTTGGCCCACATGGACCAGGACATGGAGGACCTCAGGGACCGTGGGGACCCCAAGGCCCACAACATTGGGGACGTTGGATGAGACGCTGCATGCGTCAGATGTGGAGAGGAATGCAAGGAGAGGAAGGCCAGAATGCAGAGAAAGACTCCACAGAAGAAGGGGAACAGACAGAGAAAGGTGAAGGCCAGAAGAAGGCTGAGGAACATTTCAAGAAGGTTAATGAAGAGTACTTGAAGAACATTGGAGACTCTGTTGCTGCTATGTTGGATCCAATGGGTAAGTGGTTTTGGTAATTCATAATAGGGAGTTTAAGCTTGCATTTTAAATCGAAACGCCAACCTATGCATATGACCAATTGCCCATACAAATGCATCGCTTAAATGTTTTCCATCCATGTTTAGGTTGTGGTAAAAAGATTCCAAGCTTAAACTCCCTATTATCTCATTTTACACTTTGGATTGAATTTCATGAAAATATTTTTTTACATTCAAATAAAGTGTTGACAATATGTCATACAAACAAATGATAATGAGTAATTGTGTATTCAATCTATACATTTCATTACAGGTATAGATGTCACTGTTGATGTGGAAAACCCAGAGGGTGCCCGTTTGCGATGTGGACAAGGACGTGGGATGGGCCGCGGCCGTGGTGGTCGCTGCGGAATGGGGCGTGGAGCCTGGGGAGGAGGTCCAGGCCCATCGGGGCCATGGTGGAAGGGAGGTCCAGGGGAGGGAAAGAAATGTGGAGGAGGACGCAAGCGCAATGGAGGAAACAAGAAAGAGGAGAAAGATATTGAAGTTGAGGTAGAGAAACCAACTGAGAAGACTCCACTTGTAGAGGAACCTATGGATGTAATTATATTTATCACATGACTAAACAAAATGCTGTACTGTGATTGGTCAGATCATGCAACATGATGAGCAATCTTTCCTGTGTTATATATGATTGCTGAATTGTGATATTTAAATGTCATAAAATTAGAAAATTTATCACATCTAAAACTAAAACATTGACCTGATTGGTTAAATTACAGGTACCAAAACTTCTTTGTCACAATCTTGAAATTCATACACATAAAATGAAATTCTATAGTACAGTAAAACCTGTCTAATCCGAACACCATTGGTACCGGCTTAAAGCATTCAGATTAGGAGGTGTTCACATTTTGAGGTTTTTGCATTCGCGAGATTCCTGATTCTGAAGAAATGTGAACACATTCTCATATTTATAGTTCATTTGACCACATAGCTTTACGGCATTTCAGAAATTTGAAAATTCAATTCAAATGAATCCAGTCATGCTGGAAAGCCCTATCAAGACCATTTAAAGTTTTTATATAACAATATTTGAGCAATTTTGTATGAAACATGTGAAATTTTTTGAAAAGTGTTCAGATTAGATAGGTTAATTTTTCAAATATGATTGTTCACTGTTCAAATTGAGAGGTGTTCACATTTCAAGTTTTTTTTAACATGGGAGTCAATGCGAGGAAAAAATGGGACCGAAAAAAAGTGTTCAGATTGGGAGGTGTTCGGATTAGCCAGGTGTCCAGATATACAGGTTCTACTGTACTGTGCTTAGTCACTACAGATCTTGCAAGGTTATTAAGGATTAAACTTATGCTATACCTGTATACAGAAATGCTAAACTGTGATGGAACTTACATGCGTAATATCAGTTGGACATGTTGGACAGAAAATTTCAATTTTAGCATGTTTGTTATTTCAGGAGGTTGTAGATGCCGGATCCAACCAAGGCGAGAGTGATAAGAAGGGGAGTGATTCCGAGGCAGACTGGACAATGCTTCAAGGGGATGATCGTCCAAGACAGCCATACAATTTCTCATTTGTTAACTCCCAGGGGGATGTGGAAACGATCCCTACCCCAGGGCCAGCTGTCCCCACCCCTACTATCCCTACCCCCAGTGCACCATCAGCACCGACAGGAGCAGCTGCCGCCAGCAGTAACACACAAAATGGTGGACAACAAAATGGTGGACAACAGAATGGTGGATTGTATCCCAGCATCCCTAGACCAGAACCAACACACCCTGGTGAGTAAATATTGAAATTCTTAATTTTTTTAAAATTATTACTTCTTTTTGTATCCTTCTAATGTTTGTAAGCATTCTAAGAGATAATGTTGTTTTTGTTGTTTTAATCAACTTTACACTTACACTTAGAGTTGGATTTTCTTGATGGGTTTCTATACAGTTTTTGGTCCTTTCCCTCTGGTACTTGTGATTTGATATTTAAAAACATTATATGTAAAATTGGTTACAAAAATGATCTGTTTACTCATTTATTAATATTTCAATAATAATCAAAATATTATAAATAGGTATGAATATGCTTCAGTACTGATGTGCATATTTAATTCTTCCAATTCCAGACCCAAAGATTGCCGAAGCGTTGCGTCAGATGCAAGGCATGGGATTCAACAATGAGGGTGGTTGGCTGACAAATCTGCTGGAGACCAAGAATGGTGACATTGGAAGCGTCCTCGACACCCTCCAACCACACAGACAGAAGTAAATGAAGAACATGGACTGACACGGATTGACATGGAAAACGACAAACCCGAGAAAACGCTGCAGTGTAGTGATTTTGTGATGCTTTGACATTTATAGTATATAGCATTATATATACATGTATAAAGATAATAGTTGGAAAAATGGGTTAAATGTAACATATTGACATATACAGGCGGTTACTTATAATGGACTTTGAAATTATATAATACCTGGTGGTATATGTATATTACGAGCTTGAGGGATTTGACACTTCGTTAAGTGTTACATTATTAGGTATAAGATCATGATAAGAGTGTACACACATAGTGTAGCAAAGTGTATAGAAATGGGAAAGTTGTATGTAGCCAGACAATTGTATGTAACCAGACAATTGTATGTAACCTAACACTACAAGTATATCTAAGAAAAGACAGAATTGGCCTGCGAACCATTGTGTTTACCCTCCTCCATGACAGATAACACTCATCAATCCCATAATCCCCCACTTTTGATTCTCAATGCTGATTGGCTAAATGATATTAGATGTATGATGGGATACACATGTCCCAGCATTCATCTTCATTCTCAATGCTGATTGGTTGATTGGAGTCAGGTGGTTAAATGGGTGATGGGAAATATCTGTCAAAAGCTAGCCTAGTAGAGATGTATAATTAGAAATTCTCCATCTTTACTTACTAAGCATTAACATGCTCAATGTGGAAAATAGCACAACACAGAAATAAAATAAAATAAATAAATCATGAATATGAATCATTTCACTGTCATATAAGTTGATCTTGAAATTATTCATATTTTTTTTTGATATGTGTTTTGATACAGTGAGCATAATTTCATTTCGAAAGTTGGAGGTAGACTTAAGTCTAAGATTTTGACAAGGGTATCAGCAAATGGTTCGCAACTGTGCTTGAATTGTAACATCCTATCTGTTCTTAGTTAAATAAACTGCAGCATCGTGTATTCTTCTAACTGTAAACATATTGTGTATTGTTGATTATATTTTCTGTTATATTACACTAGCGAATTTAGGAGCTTACAAGGGGGGGGGGGCAAATTTCAAACCAGGAAAAAAATTTGGGCGCCTAAATCCAAAAGCTGGGGCCAAAATTTGAAAAGGAGTGGTATCGATATGGTGAACTTTTTGAACACGTTTTTCTCTTAAACCAGTCATCAAAACATTCTGTCAATTTTACACATCGTCAATTTAATGGTTATCTTTTGGACGGTAACATTATGATTTGAGATATATTAACATACTTTTCTCTATATTTTTTTAGAAAACACATGAGACACTTCTTTTGTTCTTGGTATCATATGTTCAGAACGAAATGAAACATCTATTCGAACCTCATTGGAACAAAACGACATAAAAACAACATGTTTAGGTCTCTCAATATTGTAATTGTACAAAGGAAAGTTTGGTTGATTTTAAAAAAGTATCTTGTTAATGAAATAAAAGGTTGAACTTAATTTTTATCTATTTTGGGGGGTTTTGATTTAAGTTTTTGCTATCAATATATTTGCCTCTTCGGATAATGAAATTGGACACACATAAGAGAAAAACATTGTTGAATTCTGTTCCCCATATCGATACCTATCCTTTAAGGCCCATTTGATAATTTGGTCTAAAAGTAATGTCCAAAAAGGTCCACTAATTGAGGCCCTACAATTTTTGGGCCCAGAATTTTTTTCTAGGTCCACCAAAGGGGAGGAGGCCTCTTCCCCTGGATCCACCAGTGTATTATATTTAACCCTCATGGATCCCTCTCCCAAAAATTGATCAACCAAGATCTAAGTATTTGCTGCCATCTATATAAAAACAAAAGTATTAAATCTACATTTTAAGCCCAACATCTGTGATTCCCATCCCCAGATAATTTTGGAATTCATAATTCTTTAAATGAAGCTTACACGATCAGTCGCCCTAGCCATTATATTTTTTATTTTTGTTATATTGAATATTCCATGAGAAAAAAATATTTAATTGCAATCTCCGAGCCTTTCGTCTAGTGCAATCCGTACCTCCTGTGCCTTAGGTAGTGAAGGTACGCAACGAACGAAATGAATTTTGAGAATGATTTAATTGGGAGTTAGAGCTTTGTTCATCAGGGTCTGAATCTTTAAATAGAAATAAAATATACAGTGCTCACTACCCTTGCCCAAGTCAGTATTTTTTGCTTATCTAATCTTGAATTATCATAATAGAAATCAAAATAAGTTACAGACGACTTGGGCAAGGGCAAGTGCTCACTATAAATAAATAAATGACATTTGATTTGCTGAAGTGAGGATTTCCCATGTTAAAAAAAAAGAAAATGTGTTTCCTTATGGAGATGTCCAATAGAATAACCCTCACCCCTCCCCATTTCAGACTGGTACACTTATTTAGCTTTAGGCTGCATATGAAGTGTCAGTTGGCGATCAATTAAAATGTGGAAATATCAGAAGACTGAGGTATTATATTATGAGATATTTAGGCCACATAATAACAATAATACACAAAAGAAACATTTTCAAGTAACATAAAACAAAAATATTTATTTCGCATAAAGATATGTATATTTTAACATTTTTCCTCCCAAAACCATCAAAATGAAATACACTACTACAAAATTTACAATATTATGTCCAGTAAATAATGTTCCAGTTTACAGTTTTCATTGCACTTCCCCCCTCCATTCGCTTCTTGGAAGCATGTACATATGTGGGGAAGAGTACAGGCCATCAGGAAAATATACCAGGTACTATGTAACAATGAAGGTTTAAATATCATATTCATCATATTATCATATATCATATTGGTAACAGTTGCCAAGAAATGCACTCTCTAATCAAACAAAATGCTGGAACATTATTTACCTAGACACAGTTCATTGTCAGTGCTAGGAAAAAATCTCCCTATTATGCACATTCAAATATGACGGGAGAATTATTTCTTCAGTATTGTTGTGATCACATTCTTACTTCTTTTAAGAAAATCTGACAATAAGCGAGCATTGCAAAAGATCAATGATGGAAAATGAACTGTATTTAACAGTTATGGGGGAGGGGGTAATTAGCCTTAAAAGTAAGCTTTCCAACATCGTTCTTCGGAATTTTATTTGAGAAAACTTTGTGGGATATAAACTCAGGATTCTACAGTGACATGCAACACAAGAGATAATCTCATGCTGAAGGTGTACAAAAATACAGATTGGAATAATTATAAAATTAACTAATACATATTAAGATAGATATAGTGTGACTTTAACGCAATGACACATATCAACAGATGAACTGTTCAAATACAGTTAATTTTCCATCATTGATTTTTTGAAAGAAATGCTCCCTAAAAGAGAACACATAGAGTAAAACCTCTGGTACACCTTTGTTCAACTTGGAAGGTGTTCAACTTACATTTACATAAGGTAAATGGGTCAGAGGACTTAGAAGAGTGTTCCACTTATGGAGGTGTTCCACTCGACAGGTTTTACTGTTCATGTAGTTGTTCGTTTGTTTATTTGTACCTCCAAGCTAACTTTTTGCAATATTTTATAAACGTTGAAATGCCAAAACTACGCTATATACTTTTAGACAATCAAACTCCTCGGAGATTGTGTGAATTAGCCATGAATGGATTAATACAATCTTTCCTTTCAGGGATAATCCATTCTCCAAATGCATTAATTGTTGTTTGTTAGATTAAAAGAGTGACAAAACTCTGATAAGGAGAATGGTAATATCAATCCAGATTGTATGTTGTAGGCCAAAGATGGCAGCAGATTGACTTTCAGGTTGACAGCACTGCCATCTTTATATGACACTCTTTTTAACACACTAAACCTAAGATCCAGATCCAATTTTACCATGGGTTTGCTCAGCAGTAGTAGCTACAATCCCTTGTGAGCTCCCCTCCTTGAGAAAGTGTGTAGTCAAGTAGTGGGAGGGGGAGGAGGGGGTATCAGGAGCTCGTAGCTAGACTAGCTCAGCAGTAGTTTGCTATCATCAGCTCAATAATGGGCCTTAAGACACAACCTATACTCAATTCTGTTAGCTATGGTACCACAAGCAATCCCATGGTACCATGGAATGGTACCCACAACATTGGAAAAATATTTTGACTTTGTGCACAATTTGCACTTTTAACAATGAAATGCTTCCCAACCATTTATTTTTATCATTACACTGTACAGTGTTTTAATAAATTGTCTGGATGATTTAGTACAAACACACAAATATGTTTTACATGTTGACACACACACTATAAAGTACAAGTATGATATATACCCTTGGGTTGGTATATCTGAACATTAATAGCTCACATTTGAAACTGACTGACACACAATACAAACTTACAAGTACATGATGTAAACTACATAATGTTACCACTCACACATTGATTACACAAAGCCTTTGATTTAAAGTTTACCATTGTCAGCTTGTAATTTTAATAAATTGTTTTTTATAAGCTATTTTTATGGTAATATTTTGTTATTGGATAATAACAGATTGCTGGATCAGACACAAATATTGATTTATTGCGCAATCTGGATAATGATTTAAATCATTTTTCATTCTAACCATTTTTGGGATTTTTTCCAGCCTCATTTAAATCAATTGATCATTTCAAAAATCAACTTACTTACAAAATTCGGCCTCAAATCTAAACATTATTATTATATGAAAAAATACTGATTCATTAATCATTATTATATTTTTAAGTCCTAAATATAACACCAATTTGAATTCAAATTACATAATGTCCAAGAGCTTTAAATCAAGATATCATAGGTTATTGCTTGGACAAAAATAGTTTATTTACTGACTGGCCCCCCCAAGATCTTGGTAATATGTCAATCATTCACAAACTATGAGACCAATATTGCTAGCTTAGTGTAATCAAAGTAAAACAATAGAACACATATCAATTGATAAATGAGATCAAATCTTTTGAGATCTTGACAAGTAAGATTTTGCTTCATCTATTTTCACATTTTTGAAATGAACTGAAAGTATATTGAAATTGATAAAGTGCCATACTTCAATTTAAGACATTTCTTTTCATTTGATATTTCAAAATTAGCATGGAAAACATATTAAGTACACTCGATGTTATACCATTTTTGATATTATTTTATCACTGAGTTGACGTCAATATGCATCAAAGAAGTTCAAATACATGCTTGGCACTATTCTTAATGAAAAGCATACACCCCTTATTTATACTCTGAAATTGGGGTACCGTATGATACATCAAGAGTATGGCACCGTTAGAGTATTGTGCCATGCAGTGTTCACGGTACTGTTTTACTATACAGTACCATATTACACATTACTGCACAGTACCGTAGCCAAAATAGTATCATACTGTACTGTTGGAATTTGGTTGTGTATGTCACTGGATTCATCTTGTGATGTGATGTGACTTTTTCAATGTTTGAATTTTCAATCAATGAGCAAGCATAGTGTGAAATACTAATCTCAATATGTTATGAATAACCTATAATTGATGCAACATACATTGAAACATACATGACAATCATATACTATGTAAATTATGTATACAGGGTGGGCCAAAAAATGTCACCCTTATTATATTCTTGCCAGTTCAGAATGGGTACCATTTTTTGCCCCACCCTGTACATAAATGTACGCTCATATGCCGTTATATGTATATACATGTACATATACACTCACATACTATTTTACATATTTTGTGGCACATAAAAGGCATGTATACAATATGAATAATATCAACTCGAGTCATCCCCTCACCTCTTGGAAATAAGGGGAAATATGATCTATTTAGAAATTATGCATATCAACTACAATATATACTCTCACTCAGTTTATTGAGCTCTTGTTGAGCAAACCCATTTACAGCCATAATAACACTGACGCGTAGCCCGATGAATGAGATCTGTTTTGCTCAAACTCTAACACAATAACTGCAATAACAAGAATACAGCAACTCCAGGGAGTAGCATATCCCACCGATAGTGGCCAATTTGAAATGCAGCAGAAATCTTCAAAAGAATTTTTCAGCAGAGCTTCTATGTCCCTCAGCTTCAGCATAAAAATTTGAATTAAAATCAGACAACTGGAATTTGAGTTATCAAAAATTACCTTTTTTACAAAAAGGATGGCCATTTTGAATTGATCAACCATACTGAAAATTCCTTCTTGACCAGAATTCCTACACCCATAAGGCATAAGCCTATAAAATTCAAACAAAACCGTCATCTGGTATTTGAGTTATCGCCCAGACAAATGAACGCACAAACAGGACAAACACATGTCCGGATGAACACACAGACAGCTTCTCTATATCTCTACAAACTTCATTCGGTGGGATAATAATCTCTGAGGTTGGGTTAATGTCATTCAGTTTATTTAGTGCCCTTATGTCCAGAAAAATGGAATGTTGTCTCACCGGAATTAAGTATTTCGGCACAACAATATTTCCAGATTTTTTTGCTTAATAACAATATTATTAAGAAAATAATTAGTCAAGCTACAAGCCCTTGTGATCCCTCATGACTCATCCCTGTGTGAGAAGGTGTGTGGTCAAGTAGGGGGGGAGGGGGGGGGGGGTCACAGGGGATTGCAGCTAGACTAGAAAATAATGATTTTTAGAAGTCAATTTGGCTCATAAAAATACTATATCCCTTTGAATAAGTCATTTTTCTCCTAAGATGTGAATTATGAAACAGGTGGCTTTGTAAGCCAAAAATTAAATTTTACAAAAATACAACAGTTCCACTTTATACATGTACATAAATGCAAATATTCCGAAGAAAATATTTCCTAAATATTTCTTTGAACTTTTTCAATCTATTTCAATCCTTAAAGGACAAACATGTAGAAGGAATAGAGTTAGTTTTATATATGGGGACAATTTTTCCTAAGAAAATATATGCATGTAAAACATATTAAACCTTTTCATGAATGTGTATATGCATACAGGCCCGTAGCCACCTTTTGTCAAGGGGGTTCACTTTTGACAATTTTGGCCAAAATCACAAGTATAAAAACCTAGAATGTTGAGAAACTGCATGATATTGAAAGAATTTTTGGCCAAGAGGGAGGGGGTGGAGGGGGTGGGGCTACGGGCCTGCTATATGTGTATACATATTGCTATACTGCATATAGATACAAGAGCAATTTAATATGGAATGTATTGAAAGTCAAAATAGACTTACAAAAATGTAAGGGTTATTTAGATATAGTAAACAGTTATAGAATATACTCTTAATAGACTATATAAAGATATTTGATTAATATCAACTACAAAAATACTACACATAAGAGACTCCAAAAATGTTTTTGATCTTTGATACAAGAGTTACTGCTGGTAAACATAAGCAGGCATTTGCATGTTCATAGGTGGGCCATAGTGAGATGTAGTCTGCATCGGAGGCTGGCTATAATAAACTGTCCCCGTGGGCTGAGCTATTGTCATCCCAGAGGGAGCCACCATACCATGGCTAGGCGGGGTAGACGGCAGAGTGTAGTACTGACCACCTGAAGGCAAAGAATGAGGGTTAACAACATGCAAACCACCATCACCAGAATAAGAATGTGCATGATCTACATACGACTGACAGTAAGCTAGATTATTAGTATCAGAATCTACATTAGTCACAGAAGGTTGGTTAGGATGATGATAATGCACAGCCCCATCACCGTTAGTATAAGCTATAGCCCCAGTGCTGGTGCTGCCCTCTGCGACACCGATTGGACCACCATCACCATGAACTACATATTTATGACTATCATGCTCAGAATCAGGGTACGGATTGGGGTCAAATGTTTGTTGGACAAGCGGGGGGCCAGCGAATTTTTCTGGATCAGGTTTCTTGGGGGTTAACATTTGTTGAAATCGCGGTGGAATGTCTTTCATCGGTCGTACAATTCTAGGCACATAATTCTTCTTGTGAAATTTCCTAGGGACATTGATGATTGTGTTGTCATGCGGTGTAGATTCGTCGCTAGTGTGACCATCTGTGATGTCATAGCTTGGTCTTGGGAGTGGTAGGAAAGCAGAGCTTGATTCTCCATCAGGTTTTGATTTTCCTATTGTGCTTTCTGTACTGAAATCAGACTGGCATCCGCTGTCATTATTCCCATGATCCTCTTGTGACGAGTCATCTGATCTTGTGCTACTCTCTTGTGATGGACTTTTTGGGGCAGCAATGTTTATATTTTCGTCACTGTCCAACTGACAATATTTTTCAAGTTTTGCTGTGATTTCATCTACATTTTGGATTTTTGGGTTATTTGCTCTATGTGTATATCTGGGAAAGGGAGTATCCTTTGTATAAGTATGGCCCTGGGGTACTTGCACATATCCTGGGGGTGGTGCATACATTGTCATCTGCGGATGTCCCATGGTTGCTCTATGATAGGCGTGAGGATGATAAACTGGTCTAAAGTGCATCATTCTTTGTGGAATGTGACCAGTAGGTGGCGCATGAGGACCACTATATGATGGCACTGCTTGGTGGATTTTTTTCTCAGATTTTATTTCCAACTCAGTTGGTGTTTTTTCGTCAGTTGTATTGCTAGTATTACCTGTTGTCTCCGCATCTTTCTCAGTGAAGGGCGGGGCTGAAAGGGGTGGAGCCTGAAGCGTTGGGTCGACATGGAAGGGCTGATTGGGTGTCACTGGGGTAACAGGCATACTGACAGGCATGGGTTGTTGGCCGAGGTTTTGTTGCTGGTGCATCAGAGTTGAGAGGCGAAAATGCTAAAATATAAATGTGATTTAATTGAAACCACATTGAACAAGGCACTACCATGCAAAATGTCACCACATGCTATTTGTTACAGAAGCCAAATTTAATTAGATTTTATAGGTTTGGTCAAAATTGTATATCTTTTTAAAATTGACTATAATCAAAACTAAATTTGCAGGCAAAAAGCTAGATGACAAAATAGCTATTTACTGAACTCATATCGACATATCTTGATTTCAAACAATCATATCGTACCTCAACTCCTATGTTGTAGAAGAATCTCAAAGTGTTCACATCTGAAAAAAATGAAGCAAACACATCAACAAACAGAAATGATTAAAATTCAATTTTACGATTGTACTTAATTTTTATTTTTATTAAGATATATTTATTTTGTTACAAGATACGAAAAAAATCGTACTTAATTACAATGAACGTTCTAATTACAACATCTTCAACTTCAATCTTTTTTGATCAATGGATAAAATGTATCAAATGTTTTTAATATAATTACAGGGTGGGCAATAAAAAACAGGACACTTTGCATGTTTCTTAAAAATACTAAAGATCATGTGTAGGATACCAATATATTCAAGTCACAATATTGGTAAAATGCTGTACCTAAAATGATAGATATTCACAAATTCTTTACAATTTTGATAGCTGTTTTGGCAGCTATTGCACCACATTTTTTAAGCCAAGCAAAAAATAATAAAAACAAGCATCATTTGACAGAATTATGGTTTCACTATAGAGAGATGTCACTAGCTGAACAATAACGCAGATGCAAGTAGGTATTTACCAGTTTCACCACCAGGTGGCTCATTCGGGTCAGATAGCATAGCGGGTATTAGCAGAAAGTTAAATTCAATTACATTTGTATTAGTGGTTCAATTTTCATATAACCCTTATGTATCTAATAGTTATGCAAATTGAAATATGTCCAGTAAAAGAAAAAGAAAAACGTATCTGTCCAATACAAGAAAAGATATTTCACTTTTTGTGATTTTGTAACATTGGGTCTATGGGGAATCAACCCGAACGAGAAGTCAAACTTTCAAAAAGAAATTAATTTTCAAAGTTGATAAACAATTTTCGAAACCATATTTCTAGATGTACTTTTACATGTAGATTTCAAATATGACATCACTTTGACTGAATTTTGAATAATTATTGACGTAAATCAAGATCATGTCTACTCGCATCTAGTCTATTGTGATCTTCTCAGTGTATCTGGCTTTTGCGTTTTGAATAGAAATAACCATTGTTGACCTTGTTTTTTAATCCATAGGCCAAAGAACACATTTAACGTCTAACATATTTAACATATTTAATGGCAAATGCAAATTTTCTTCTCTCAACCTGTCTCTGATTGGACAAAGTTCGACTTGGGATTAATCATACACAATACACATTCCCGGGCCTATGTTTTAATCCGCAAACTTACCACCATTCGGTAGATCAGATCCCGCATTGTCCATAGAGGCTTGTGCATTCAGATTGACAGGTCCCGTTAGGTTATTCACATAAGGAATGACAAGGAAGGGATAGAACTGAAGCTGGGTGGGTGGGGACACAAATTGCTGGACTTGGGGGGGTGGCGTCATGTATGGCTGTTGTACCTGGGGACTAGCAGCTAGAAAACGAATAAAATAGAAAGTATATAAAATACATTGATATAGGCACATACAAAATTTCAATAAAATAACACACTCGTACATGCCAAAATGTCATAAGACAGTGTGCCATGCTCACAAGTATTCACATATAAAATATGAACAATATCACTCCACTACTTTTCGAGTTATAGTAAAACACGTAAAATAACACATGTTAAAAGAGTATATATTTGTACAAAATATGAACAAAATCAGGCCAACAGTATCTGAGTTATTGGATTGCCCGAACGGACATACGGAAGGACGAACGTACAGAGCCATTCCCTGTATCCCTCCAAACTTCGTTTGTTTGATAATAAAACAGGCAGGATCACACTGTGATTGGACTGTGAGAGATCACCTCAGAATCTGATAAAAAAATCTTTTCATCTGCCCTTTTCATTCATTTGACTTGGCTTTTTAAAAGAGAGCTTCATCTACTTTTAGCTAACCTATGCACTCAGGGTGATTTTTATCTTGTCTTTGCCAATTCAACATGGCATTCTATTTTTGATGCAAGCCCGTAGCCAGGGGGGTAGGGGTTTGCAGGGTTCCCCCCCTGGCCAAAAATTCTTTCAAAATCATGCAGTTTTCCACCATTTTGAGCACTTCTCAAGTGATTTTAGTCATATTTGGGCCAAAATTGTAGAATGTAAACCCCCCCTGGAAATTTTTGAAAACTGAACCCCCCCTTGTCAAATCCTGGCTACAGGCCTGTGATGTGTTTCACTTACAAAGCGATGATAATTTAATATGAAGTCAATGGATTATGAGACCTTTAAGAGTTCCACTTACAGAGGTGTTTCACTTTACAATTCTTAATGTAGTTCTCTAGGTAGTGGAGAGAGGCACCAAATACTAAATACAATGTTAATTGTGAAATAGGTACTAGAGAGAAGCACAGTACTAATTTGGGTAATATGTATGGAGGAATTAACAAAACACAGTCTGATCAAGGAATAAAGGGATTAAGGGCAGCAGATATGTGCGCACACTGTACATGGGTACAAAACATACAGCATTTTATCATTACTTATTGGACACTCCATATATCAAAAAGTCATAATCTCGCATTTCTTTCTCTTCAAAGATCAAATTAAGTTCTGAAACGTTGAGGCTTTGCACTGTGAATGATATTTTCATACTGAAGCAACCTACCTAAGTTGCCATTCACATCAGGTTGGAGTGTAGGCCCTGGGGATTGAGACGATACTGGTGATGTCATACGTTGTGGCAGCACAAGGGGTGGCGGAGGAGTTTTGCGAGCTGAAGTTAGAATATTTCACATTTTATCTTGAGCACTGAGTTTAGCTAAATATTGTATAAGATGAAGCTCTCTTTCAAGAACCGAAATTGAAAAAATGGAAAGGGTACTGTAAATTGCTTTAATTTGGCGCTATTTAATTTGGCGGATTGAGTAAATTTTGGCTGCTATTTAATTTGGCGGATCGACCTTCATAAATCATATTGCTCTCTTCACAGATAGCCATTGATAACAGAATTTTATCCCTCCTAGTATCAGATTGTTTATTAATCTAAACCAGTGTAGACCTTCTGAAATTATTTAAAATTGATATTTTATTCATGTTCCAATCAAGTTTTCTGTGCAGTTTTCTTAGTTTTTCACTAAGTTTATTGTGCAAGATAACACCATGTGGAAAGGGCACTGGACGAAAATTCCCAGGAATTTCATTTTCAAAAAATTGGTGGAGATTTAATTTGGTGGGTTTCATCAATCTGCCAAATTAAAATGGCCATCAAATTAAGGCAATAATTTAAATTTTGGATATCTTTAGTAATAAAATCATGTTCTCAGTTTTTAAAATGTAATTAATTCGGCATAGTAGACTTAATTACTTTTTTGGTTTTCGTAAAAGGCTGATGTATTTCCAGTTTTTTAACATTAAACAAGAAATCTGAGAGTTTAAAAAAATGGAAATAATTTCACAATGCTATGTACATTTATCCAATATATAACCAGGTACAATTAAAAAAATATTTAATTGAATTCAAACTATTATCATATTAATAGACTAATGTTGAAATAATGAAGTGAAAAAATTATGTTAAACGACAACCATTAAAGGCCACAGATTGTAAAAATCAATACATCTATTAACACACAATACCTGCCAATTGCCATCCCAATTAAGTTGATAACATTTTGGAGAGATATTGTGTGGATCATGAACATATAACACTACAGCAGGTAGATAAAAAAATCAAAATTTGACGAAATTAGTCCTTTTTGATTCTACTTTTCAAGTGGTCAATTCTCCAACAAAATAATAAAACATGAATTTTTAAACTTATTCAATCATCTTTATTGTCGAAGTATTTTAATACGTCATTTAATTTTGCCATCTTACGATGGAAGATGAGAGTAATTCTTTGCCCACTCCAGTGATATGTTGAAGACTAGCACTGGAACAGGAGTTTGAATAGAGATTTTATTCAAGGGATGTTTATACTAGCAGCATGCCGTTAATAAGAGGATTTGTCAAATTAAATATACATTTAAATAGTTAAATCAAAACAAACTGCTTCTTTTAAATCCCCAAAAAGTAATCGTCAATTTTTATCATTCCAATTTGAGGTTTTATGACTAGATTCAGAAGAATTGCACCATGCATTGCTTGATACATATATATTTTGATAACATATTGTCATTATAATCTCGCATTATTCCCTTCAGAAATGAGCAAGTTCAGTAAAACCTGTTTAAATGCAACATCTTTGAGAGGTGTTAGGAGGTGTTCTACTTATAGAGGTTAATTTAACATTAAAGCAATGGGTCATGGGACTCTGAAAAATGTACTACTTGGGAGGTGTTCTACTTATAAAGGTTCATTTAACATTAAGTCAGTTGATCTTAGCTTGGGACTGTAAAAAGTGTTCCACTAACAGAGGTGTTCCACTTCTAGGTGTGTTCCACTTTGCAGGTTTCACTGTACATCAAAGATACATCCAGTATTCAAACCTGATGAAGATCATACTTCTCAAAGAGAAAAATGGCCACTTGGAAACTAGCATCCCGGAAAATCATATAGTGGAACTATAAAAATCTGTTTTTGCAATTGTAAAAAAAATTTCAAGCTCAACAGATGAATGGTTTTCTTGATCTCTGAAAAAACGTTCTAGTGCCACCTGCATGCTCCCCAATAACATAGATAAGAAACAAGATGACTAGATAGGACATCATCAAGTCTGATAAAATAATTCATTCATGCACCATCATGCATTTCACCAATACAAATACAGTATTACAAACGATAAGAAAAATCACCTAGTATCAAAATGAAAAACTAAGTAGAAAACAGTGGTATGAACAAGGTATAAAATAAACATAGATGAAGTCATTACTCCAAAGTGCACAGAAATGACATAACATAAGACACTTCATTCAAATTTTACAGAGAAAACAAGTAAATAAGCATGAGCAGACGGACATTTTAAAATCCTACATTCATATACTAGCATACCATGTGTTTCTCCAACACCCAGGCTATATACACAACTTGGCCTCACCTTCCTGAGATACCTCACATTTATCGACATCATTTTCGACATCATCGGCACCAAGATGGTCCTCACTCATCTTTGCTAACTTGTTATTTATAATACAGTTAGTTGACATTGTTGAAACGCTATCCGCATCATGGTTATCATTTGTGACATCTGTGGTATCATTCTTAATGTCATGAATATCCTTTGTAACATTGTTAATTTTACTTCGATCACATTCACCTTCGGCACATGTTACATCTTGGTCCAGGTCATTTCTAGGTGTGACATCCTTGTCATTTGTATTTTTGTGACACATTTTAAATCCATTTTGATAAAATTGTTCATCTGTTGGATTAGCTTCAACCGCATTCTGTGAAATGTTCTTCATATTTTTAATATTTGTGGGTTCCTTTATCGACTGTTTAGATTCATCATTATCTATCATACCTGCAGCATTAGCGATTTCATTTATACATTCACCATCCATTAGTTCCTCTGATACACATTCACCCGTTTTCTCAGTCATGTTTTTACATCCATTAAAACAGCATTTCGTTTTATCAGAGTATTGTCTGATGTGTTGAAATTTGACTCTAGTGTCTGACACAGCTGTTGCCCCTGATATATCACCCATATATCCGATACATTGTGCACTGTCTGTTTTATCTACTCTCTCATCTATCAATAATTCCCCGCTCTGTTTAATCCCCATATGCTGTTCACAACTAGTGCGCAATATGATTTTCTGAATGTGATTTTTCGTTTTCATGCTCCTATCAATAAATCCATTCTCTAAAGCGTGTTTTTCAACCTTGGTCTCACTTTGGTTATTGATGCTAGCATCATCAGGATTTTTGGTCATTTTGACTTCACTGTCATCAATTACGGGTTTAACAGTAATTGGGCCATTGTTACACTTCGAATCGCTCAAGACATCAGTGTGATCTTGAACCGGATTGATACCTTGGATAACAGATAACATTTTGTTAACATTTTCGTCATTCTTAACTAATTGTTTGCTGGCAACTTGTTTCAGCTCATGTATTTTCTTTTCATTTGTTTTGGCAAGATCAGGGATACACTGTCCAGTTTTTGGTATCATTTTTTTCACTTCTGTACACTCCTCTTCACATTGAAGATGAAGACTTTTGTCGTTTTGCTCAGTGGACTCTGATCCACCTGTAAGGTTATCTGCAAATTGCTGCTCAGTGGATTCATTGATTTTCACAGCTGTAAGTGACAGGGAAGGTTTAACACTACACCTATCCTTTAATTTGCTATCAATCAAAGTGCCTGTCACTTTGTCAGCATATGTTGCATACTTTCTATCCACACTCAGTGCATCACTTTTATAGCTTTTCAGTAGACTTTCCTGATCTGGTGTGTCCTGCTTTTCGCTAGAAACCTCCTGCACTTCATAAGCTTTACCCTGCATTTCATTAACAGTACCCTGCACTTCTTGATCTACACCATGCCCCTTTTGGTTTAAATCCTCACTGACACTAGCCTCATTCAATTGATCTTTAGATGGTTTATATCTCGCTGTGTTCATATTTTTGGATCGTGCGCTATTTGCCTTGGTCACCTCTGGCCAATCTTGACTCAAATGTGAACCAAAATTTTGATCATTACTGTGATTGAATTGGACACAATTAACATGATTGTTATTAGCGTTACCATAAGCATTATTGTTATCGGCAATGGCAGAGTTCATATTTTGGTTAAAATGCATATCTGGCTTACGTTTCGATGACCTTGAATGCTGTCTCTCTGGAGTCACGTAACTCGACTGCTGTCTCTCTGGAGTCACGTAACCGCTCTGGCGATGAAAGCTAAAATGAACAAATGTTAGAAAAATAAGTATTCAAGTCAAGATGGTACAGTACCTATGTTACATAGCAAGGTTGAATTGCTTTGTGATGAAGCATTTTGACAAAAAGTTCAGAAATGAGGAATTTTTGTGTGTGTAACACATGCACAAAATCCTGTGATATGAAGTTTTTTGTCAAATTCTTTGTAACAAAGCAATATAACCCAGGGCTTTCACTAGAATTTCTCACAACAGACTAAATAAATGAAAACAACAGGCAAAATTAATGGAAATCATAAATTTAACATGGAAAAGATGAAAAGTCCCTAAAAACAACAGGCGATTTTGTGAAAACAACCGGTGAAAATCGCCTGTTGCCTGCTGCTAATGAAACCCTTGCACCCAATGATTAAGTATGCATTCATGTTCTGATAAGAATCTATTTACAATTGCCTCCCAGTCTCACATATTTAGGATCAATTACAGACAATCATAGATCAATCAAACACAATATTTCACATGATCACATGTTACTGCATTATCACCCATTCATAAAGTTTAACAGATTCATTAAAATATAGATGATACAGATATCTATTATTATAGTATTAGGTATTAGGGAACCTCTCGATATCTATCTATGAGATTTTAATGACATTCATTCTTGAATTAAACATTTATGCATAAAAGTGCATCTACTTGAGCTGGTCATCTGAAACTTCTCGTGGAGTTGCTCTGTGAAGCCTAGTTTTAATGTGCTAAAGAACAATTCAGATATCTTGCAGACAAAAAAGTTATGCGGATGCGTTATGTGGATGTTAAAGTTACAAGGGGAAAACATATTTATTTGACACCCTGTATTGGCAAAATAGTCACTGGTTGCATGGGCTTCAAACCATGCTGGTTGTAAGTAGAAATTTGACGATTAACGTTTGACGCTAAGACGATTAACTTTTTGCTAATTTCAAAAATACAACCAATGACATCATCAAACCAGCTAATACGATATATCAAAGTTTCTCTAATGTATCAAAAGGTGGCAGGATTTATTAGAACGATCTATTACTTAATGTTTTATTAATGACATTGACTCTTGAATTCAAACTTTTTTTCACATTTCCTTCAACCAGATCTTTTGGACAGTTTTAGGCACTTATGAGCACAGATCCTTTCAATGACATAGATTGTAGAATTAAACATTATTAAGGTTGAAATTTCCCAAGTCACTGAAAGTGTTTATTCCATACATATAAAGAGGGGCGTGTATACATTTACTTCAATGAAATTCAAATGAAATTCAGGATTTAGAAAACCATGTAAACAGACTTAGGAGAATTAGTACTCAAATTGCTGTTTATTCAATGTAATTTCAACAATATACTTTGAATGTACAAGTATGCTTAATCATTTAATTTCAATGTTCTGTTCACAAACACACCTAATTATATACTTGTATAGAGGAGTACTTTATCCAAATATTTCCTTTTGCTTTACAGCCCTGGATGACTATTTTCAATTATTGTCAAACATTATTTTTGATTTTAAAATAGTTTACATTATGATACAAAGAAATTTTCTTGGGCTGCCATTTTAAATTTGTTTTGAATTTGTTAACATTGAAAGGAGGAGAAAAATCTGCTACAATTTCTGTACTTTTGATTCATTTTTTCTAAACGATCTTGAAAAATCATAGTAATCATTAACTTCCATATATCTAATCATGGGCATGATAGCCCATGATCTAATCAATATTTGAAAATGACTGTATTCAAGCCTTCTATAAAGTGTAAACAAAAAGTGTCAATATTTCACCCAGTATTTATTCTTCGATACAATACCTGGTAATATGAGTAATATGTGGCGTGATAGTTGTGGATCATAGTAATGGCGGGCAATGAATATTCAAAAAATGTTGGCAATTTTCACGTTCGAATCATAATATAGACCTCAGATCAGGTATTATATCAAGTAATAAATACCTTAGGGTTAGGCACAAAAGCTTACAGAAAACGTTTGAGCCTGTAGTCCTGTGGTATTTATTCATCGATATAATACCTGCTCTTTTACTCTAATACCTGATTTTAGTCAAGTCTAATAGATATGCTATAAATGCAATATTGTATCTGAAATGGACGCACCAGTTTTGTGTGCCGCTGTTATAAAAGCATAATTATCAAATAAATGAATAAAAAATAAAAATATCCATTCTACCTGTAATTGCATATGTTCTCCTTAGTATGATATCTGGCATTTTTTCACAATGCTATTATCATTCTTAAATAAGCTGTTTGACCAGCAATTTTGAACCTTTGAACATAGCTTTCCTTTCATAATATCACTGACCAAATATCATCAACCCTTTGTCAGAGTATATACTAGAGATATCATGGAACAAAAAAAATCGAAACGGTTCGGTTCGGAATATTTTGCTTCGGAACGAAACAATTTTGGAATGGTTCGGAACAGAGTGACTGCGTGTATAAGATTAAAATAAGTTGATCACCTAGGTCTATTTGGTAGCGAAAAGCTCTTCAAAACTCTTCAATGAGAAGGAGTGAAAAGAATGAACCTCTTTTGGTGCAAAATGTTGAAATGTTGTTGTGGCGATTTAAGGGCCAAAAGTTGTGAAAGGGTAAAATGTTCTTGTTCCGGAACCGAACCGAAATTCTCAATTTGTGTTCCGTGTTCTGTTCCGAGGGCATAATTCCGCGGATCGGAACAAAATCGGGTATCCGTGACACCTCTAGTATATAGAGTAGTTGGCTGTCGGAGTAGAGCTTAAATCTTAAATTGCAGGGTAAATATGTTTGCACAGTAAATATGTTTGCAGGGTAAATATCTTCAGTTTCTTAATAATGTTCTGATCCTCAGTAAAGTCTAGGTTTTTAAGCTTGGCTGGCTTTAACCCTGGGATTTCAGACACAATATCTCTGAAAATATTTATTTAAATCACGAATTGGCTTTGTCATTTTATATAACATCTGACATATTAATGCTCGGAATTATGTCAAAATAACCTAAAATAACATCTCTGTCACTGTCCATGTTGTATAGGCATGTACATAGTCTAGAAACAATGGGCCATCTGTATAAATCATCCCTGTCATGAAATATCATGCCTGTCATGTTATAAATACAATATAGAGGTAAACAATGAGATGAGAATAGAATAAAATACATAGGCATAAAGTGAGTAATCAAATTATATACAAATGCCAGAATTCGGGTAATTCTTTACTTTTCAAGAGAGAAATGATAGGAAAAGGAATGCTTAATTGACATTTTAAGACTGGTTGCTGTCTAATGCACAATAACATTGTATTTTATGTTAGTCAACAGTCAACACTAATAGCATATATTTGTCATACTGAGCAAATATTGAGGGAAATATAGCAATGTTATTTAGTGGTTTATTGTTGGAGGGATGAGGGGACAAGAGGGGATGGAGGGTGGGATGAGGGGACAAGAGGGGATGGAGGGTGTGATGAGGGGGACAAGAGGGGATGGAGGATGGGATGAGGGGGACAAGAGGGGATGAGGGGGACAAGAGGGGATGGAGGATGGGATGAGGGAGACAAGAGGGGATGGAGGATGGGATGAGGGGGACAAGAGGGGATGGAGGATGGGATGAGGGGGACAAGAGGGGATGGAGGATGGGATGAGGGGAACAAGAGGGGATGGAGGATGGGATGAGGGGGACAAGAGGGGATGGAGGATGGGATGAGGGGGACAAGAGGGGATGGAGGATGGGATGAGGGGGACAAGAGGGGATGGAGGATGGGATGAGGGGGACAAGAGGGGATGGAGGTTTCACTGACATGTGATTTCTCCAGGGTATGACTTGAGCACTGGTCAGGCCTAAAAGCAGTTCTGACCAGCTTATTTTCTCAGAGTGTAGAAAAATAACATTGCAACTGCAATCTGATTTATCAGAGTATATCTTTATCTAAAGCTTGTTCCAAATAAGGGATAGTACAGGTTGTAAAATAAATATGTCCCCCTTGATTTCAAGAGTATGAACTTTTGTGCATAAAAGTGTACAAAGTTGAGCTTGTATTCTGAAACTTCGTGTAGAGTTGCTCCCAAAACCTAGTTTTAAGGTGCTAAAGAACAATTTAGATATCACACAGACAAAAAAGTTATGCAACATTTTGTGGATATTAAAGCTGAGGGAGGAGAACATATTTATTTGACACCCTGTAAAAACCATGGATCCCACAATGATACAACTTGCCTGTAGCTTAAGTGGAAATCATTATGATGCAACCTGGGCAGAATATAATTACTAGAATAGTATATAAGTGGACTTATTAGAACAAATGGGACAACTTTTGAAACAAGCTCCATGTACTGTACATGACATCTCTCATCCCCATGCAAGTTTCATCATTCTAAATAAAGCTATAATTAAATACAGCTATAATTAAATGCAACTATAATTAAAACCTGTTGTGTTGAAAACACTACATTGTTTATATCACACAGATTTTTATCCCTAATTAAAATATTCTCAACAACAAGTTGTGCTATTTTAATTCTACAAATAATCTGACACAATATCTCAGATGATTAATACAATGTAATTTAATACCCTTTGTTGCCTGATACAATACTCCAAAATTCCTCAAATTTTACAGGTAGATGTATCTTAATTTATTTTCCAATATCATATTATTTACATGTACAATTTTTGAAATTTAATATTATGTAATTAACTAAAACTTTAAAAAACTTAAAATTACCTTTTCATGTCCTATCTGTACTTTATTACAAGATTCAAATATGTTATATCTTTTTACTCCATTTTTTATTTCATATATAGATGTACTTATCTACCACTCTCCTGTCTCTTTAATCCAATGATAACCTCCTGTCAGATCATGAAGCAGTACAATACAAACATGTGTCGTAAATGTGCATTAAGTTTAAATACAGTACACAAGCCTGTTAGGAGATTAACAATACGATGTAATTTCCATTCCATAACCTATATCATATATCCTGAGTATAGCAACTTGTTTT